CAAGAGCCTGAGAGCAGGAGTTCTCAGTTCACTGACACTGAACTCCAAACCTGCTTTCTCAGTCACTGCTGTTCGTGCCTCATGTGAAGAATGAAGTGGTCTCAGTGAATCCTGGGGTTATTCAGAGCAGTAAGAACCAGGCATGTACGTGGTGTTTAAATACTGTGCTGACCTGAATGCTAACAGTGCTCAGGAAGAGAAGCTGCAACCAAAATGTTGTGTCAGAAGTGAGTTTGAACTCCATGAGATCCACTCTTCCCGTGGGGTGGAAGAGGGAAGCTCATTACTTGGATCTGAGCTTGGACATGCAGTGGCAAAGCCAGTGTGCTGCTCCTCCTGGAGGAGTCTTCAGGCTCCAGTGACACAACCAAAGCCATGGACATGCACGTGACAGTGAAGAGGATTTCCATTTTTAAAGTGCATATTTCCATTTACAGTGTGACAGCATTCCCAAGGAAGCATTTCCAGACAACAGGAGCCTATTTCTCTCATATATTCTCATTCTTATGTTGCCCCAGTGCAGCATTTTCTAATACTAAACAGACAGGGAGGAAATTATAGTAGGGAAATTGTGCACACTTCTTTCTTAATTTAAGGAGAATGCTGCCTAAAATAGAAGGATTTTTTAATTAGTTTCAGTCATTAGCAGAAGTACTTCATTTTGCAAACCACTAGAACCACGAGTACTACAACCTGCCTGTAAACCATAAACTTATAGTGCAAATAAGATAAGCACTTTATTACAGAATCCATTTCCCTGACATAAAAAAGAGGGCAGAAAATAAAATTTCAGAGTGGAAAAACTTTTCATTGGAAACCTTAAATTTTGCACTTCAATGCACATTTTAGAATAAGGAAATCCCTTGTTTCCCACAGAGGCACAGCTTCTGAAACTGCAGTGTTAATGGCTGTTAACTCTGAAAGAAGACCCCAGGCATTTTATCTTTATTTTTGCCCAACATTTCCGTGTTGTTTCTAATCAGTTTTAGGGAGACAACTGCACCCCAAAGGTCAGACCCCACAAATCCTACCATTATCAAGGCATTTGTGGTTTCTTCAACTGCAACGATGCTCTTTTCACCAGCTTCTGCTGATTTCTTGTTGCCTGGGCTTCCTGAATGGCACCACAAATCCACTGGAAAACAACAAGAAACACTGTCAATCCACTGGGGATCTTCTAGTACCATTAATGATGTTATTCACAATTAGGTACACCTTTCTAATAGAAATAAATATACTGACCAAGCACTACAACCTACTGGGCCCATTCATTGCCACGTGTCAGCTTTTGATTTGCTCTGTTCCTGTTGCTACACATTGTGTTTTTAGCAAAAGTTTGAATACCATAACAACAAGGCTTTTTGAGGAAAATATACTATCAGATTAAATTAATTAATCAATTTTTGGGGGTTCTAAAGTGGATAGAAAACCACTGAGAGCCTCCCACTATTACATTCAGTCTAAGCAAAGAGCTCCAGAACAGGACTCTGTTCAGGCCAAGCAAGCAGGAGGTTTGCAGAGAATAATTCACAGCAATTAAAAAACCAGTTCTAAATGACAGGAGGCACTTTTGATAATATTTGCAATGAAAAACACTTTCAAACTGGATTGTTAGTTGAAATCCAGAAAGGGAGGAATTAAAATAGAACCTAACGATAGTTCTACAATTAAAACAGCTTAACAAAGCAGTGCTACTGAACCAGCCATTTTTATTGAATTCCTGAATACAACCAATTAGTTAAAAACCTCATGTCTCAACTGCCCAACATTAAACACATTGTGCATTATGCATAAAATGTGTATACATAATATTAACATATCCCTAGTCTGAGAAAATGAATGTCAGTGTAACATGTAAATGCCAAGGGGGGGAACCAAACCAAACCATGCCCTGGGGGAGCTCAGATGGCCACTCTGATTTCACCTGAGTAATTCCAGTACTTAGCAAAAGCTGAAGCGTTTGGAAAGATTGTGAGGGCTTTTTTTAATCCATAAAGTAAAACTAGTACTGTAGATACTGGAAATATTTTCCTTTAATGAGCTTTAACATACAAAACCTAAGACTGTGCAACTTCACCCTTAAATTATTACTGCATAAACTCTCTCGAATGCTTTGGCCTATCTTGCCTCATCATTCTCCTGGTTTAACTCCTTTTTCAACCTGAAACTGTGAGAAATGGTCCTCAGGCACAGCAGCCCATTCTGTAATGGGTCTCTGAACATTGCCATCTCTTTACATGCTGAGTTCAACAACTGTTAACAACATCACAAGGAAAGAAGGAGAATGGGGGGAAAAAAAAAAAGAATATACCCTTGCTGTGGTTTCATCCTGAAGCTGAACTGTCTTTACACATTCATGACCTGTACTGTCCTTTCTTTGGAACATCCTTTGATCCTGCTGCAGAGGGGAACAAAAAAGGGCTTCAGATGACTCACAAAACAAGAATGCACAGTCTGATACTTAAATGGCTCGAATGTCAACTTCAGGTTAGATTTAAACGTGGTCTCTGTCCAATCCAACCTCAAGAAATTTTACATAAATCCTGTCATACAGTCCCTTAGTTAGAAGTTAGAATCATAAATAAGTTAAGAGCATGTTTGGATGTCTAACTGGTGTTAAATAGAAGGAACTTTACGTGTTTTTCTTACCAGAACAGTTAATTTTAAAGTATTTCCTGCATAGGAAGGGCAGCGTGTAAATTCTTCAAATAAGTGATCCCACTCTACTGTTAAATGGCCCAAGATTTCCACTTCTTTCACATAAATCACTCTCCTGTTCACAGAAACACAAAAGTTAATGCTCAAATTCTCCCTGAGACGAGAACTTTGCTGGAAAGGCAAAACAGAACATTTGTTTAAGAAGGCATTGTCTGTGATAATCAAAAGTATCCACTCACAGCAGACCTGTATTTCCTCAATGTGTTCTCAGACAGTCACTTTGTCTGAGAACTCTGACTGGAGTTCAACTACAGATCTTATGCATGTGGAGAAGAATCAGCATAAGGAGAGCAGTGCAGCTCCTCAGGAGGGGCAGAGGAGGGGCAGGATTGAGCTCTGCCCTGGGGGGACCAGGGACAGCCCCCAGGGAACGGCTGGAGCTGTGTCAGGGCAGGCTCAGGGTGGATCTCAGGGAAAGGTTCTTCCCCCAGAGGGTGGTTGGCACTGAACAGGCTCCCCAGGGCAGTGGGCACAGCCCCAAGGCTGCCAGAGCTGCAGGAGGCTTTGGATGATCCTCTGGGGCACAGGGTGGGAATGCTTGGGGCTGGGCCTGTGCAGGGCTGAGGGTTGGACTCCATAATCCTTGTGGAGCCCTTCCAGCTCAGCATATTCTGGGATTCTGGGATATATCTGGAGGTGTAAATAACTAAATCACCCAACTCTCCTTCACTGACACTGCTCAGGAATGTTGAGGTGTCCTGGTAAAACACACATGGTGGGATCACTCCATGCTCTTACTATGGATGAGCCTATCTCATCCATCCAGGGAATTGGTGCCATATGGGATGTGGAGATCATAACCCTTTCCCATCATCCAAATGTATTTAGAAAGTTTTGAGTCCCCAAACTGTGTAGCCAAGACTGGCAACACCCTGAATTTTAAAAATTGTCTGATGAGTTAAATATTAATTTTCATGCTGCTACCAAAGTTTAAAAGTTCATTTAGAATATCCTGTAATTAATAAGATTGCAAACATGTGCATTATCAAACTGTTGACTGTTAACACTTATCACGAGGTAATTTGAAAAATTAAAAGCAAAGAGAAAAAAAGAATATTTCTCTCCAGTATGATGAAAGGATCCCTGATCTCAGAGTAAACTGTTTTCCCAAATCAGCATCCAGCATTGACATCATAACTAGATTACATTTTCCATAAAGGAAACAGAATAAAATAGTTTAAAAATCAAGAAAGAAGTAGACAGGGAAAGTACATATGCAGAGAACAGCCACCAGTTTGGACTCAGCCAGATGTCTGATCCCCAAGCTGGGATCATGCCAAGCCCTTCAAACCTGAGTACCTGTTGGTGACAACAAGGTTTGCTCTCCTGCCCCTTGGAAGTGCACAGTGGTACCGATACATCTCCTTTTCCAGCTTTTTGATGTGCAGTTTCTGGAACAGAAACAGAAATCATCAAAGACAATTCCAAGTGGTGCCTTCAGTTCCAAAGCCTTCCAAAAAGTCACCTCACTGCACCAGGTGTTTAAGGCAGGCTCTCAGTGAGTCACTGAGAGGTCTGCTCTGTTCCACTCCCAGGTGGAACATTGACACTGCAGGATCAGACCATTTCCTCAGCTTTCATTTCCTTTCTGTGCTAATAATTGCTCAGCAATGTTCATTCTGCTGCAGCCCACGCTGCAGACTGCATTCCAGAGGGAAAATCCTGCAGCAGGACCTTTCAAAGGAGGCAGCACATGACCCAGGCCCTTAGAAACTACCAAGATACAAACTGTCAGTGCACCTCCAGCCCAGGTTCTGGAGCACTGGACAGATGTGCCTCTTCAACATCCAAAATATGAGGAGAGATCGAAGTGCAGATTAAATTACTCACCATGTTTTGGTTAGGCAACTTCAACTCAAGGGACAAACTCTGACTATAGAGAAAGGTTTGAAATCAAGTACTGAAGTACCCCTAGGATTTTTTTTGGCAGTTACTAAACTTTGTTTTTCATATTTCCTGTTCTGTTCATGCAGTTTAATTAAGTATAATGTTTCTGAGCACATGTCACCAGGTTTACATTCCATCAACACAGAGCAGCACAGAGCAGTCTCACAGTCACCCCTACATGAGATTTACAATAATACTGGATTAAAGGCAACAAGATTCACACAGAGACACATGAATGTGTTTGTGGGAAAGGAATACACATCAGAACATTGTGTGGAGAAAGACAAAAGTATGAAATTAATAATAATAAAACCCAGCCTCAAAGTGAGTATGAGAAGAAATCTGTGCCAACTACTGGCTCCCCTCACATGCAAAAAATCTTTACAAAACACACATTCCACTTGCAAATAATGTTTAATCAGTAAAAATTAGCAAGGAAGTTACACAGCCATAATATCAGTGCACGTTAGCTCTGTACCCTCCAGGTCAGCACAACCACCTTTCTCATCACCCAAGGAATGTGCAGCTCCTGGGCAGGACATGAGGGCACACAAGGAACAAAGCCTGGGTGCAGAAGGCTTGCACTTCACATCAGTGCTTGGCAAGAGCCTGCACCTGGATGTCCCAAAAGGGGTCTGATGCTCTGCAGAGCAAGGTGGGATGACTGCCAGTTAATTTACAGTTGTTACTGTGCAATTCAGCCTCTGTATAACAGTAATAGCCTCAAGTTGTTTCTGACAAACTAGGAAGAACAAGCTCAAGAGGAAGGACTAAAAACTGAGTATGGTTTTAGTTATTTCGTGTAAACATAAATCTCCTTCTGTATTTCCACAGTTGGACCCATTAAACTGGTAAGATGTGAACAGAAGTTCCACTTGACTCCACATTTATCTGGGGTCAACCATACAGGCTAAGAACTCTGTGTAGTTTAAGTAACCAAAATTGAAAGATCAGCTTACATAAGATGCAATTGAAAGAAGGTTCAACATTTATTTATATCTGCATTTTATTTTCATATATCTACAAGTTCAACAAATGTCTTAAAGCATCATCATATATCACAAATGACCCAAAAATCCTTTAAGCCCCAAAGTGGATGAATATTCAAGACTGAAATCAACAGCATAGTGTTATCCTCGACTTGCTCTCTAATGATGTGAAGTTTTGAAAGACATTTTAATTTAGCATGTATCAGCAATTAAAACCATAGAGTTGATACCTTCTATAAAAAAATATCCCTTTCTGACCATCTTAAAAATTTCTGAAACTGTACAGTGCACATGAAAGGAAATAAAAAATGCCAGCAAGACTTCTTATCTCAAAGTGTCTGCAAGACATTAGAACAAAGATGGCAGGACACTACTAAAATGAAAATATGAACTCCCATTTTACACCTGAACCACAGCTGTTTCAAAAACAAGTGCAAGATTTAAGAAAGAGTAAAACCCACCAGCATGTGAAGACTGCAACTCAAAGGCTGCTATCCTTACTCTAAAGCCTTTTGTTGAACACGAAGAAATTAGACATGCCACATATTTAAACAGATTTATTCATAAGCATGTTTCTCTATTCAGGCTCAGAGCTTTGGAGAGCAAGGCTGCTTTCTCATCACTTCAGAAGCAATCCTGGCAGTATTTTTAGATTCTCCATGCAGTATGTTCCTAAAGGCAGAGTTCCCTCTGAGGGCTGTGCCTGCAAGACGCAGGATTTCCCAGAGCTATTCCCAATCCACCTGAGAGGTGCCAGCACAGTGGTGGTGCCACTGCGGAACAAGGGGGCTGCACGGGATGGAAATCACTCCATGATCGGCACACTGAAAATTCAGACATCTTTCTCCAAAGCTGTTCTCTCTGTGAGCACTTTGAAGAAGTTCACTCATTCTTATTTTACAGGGAAGCGAAAGAACCAGTGCAGATTTCCCCAGCAGAACAGGGAGGCAACCAGAAATAGAATCTGCAGTTCCCTGCACAGCCTGTGCTCTCTCTCTGCCACACAACAGCCTCACCACCCTGCCTCAATTATTCAGGAGGTGCTGTGCATTCTTTATAAAGCTCCATCCTTAACTGGGAAATGGAAGCACGTCCTGCTCGGGCACTGCACGGTGTGGGAGTGCAGGGGGTCAGCTCTGCAGAGCGGGGGAGCCACCTCGGTCACAGCACGGCCTGCAGGGTGTCAATGGGACCGGCCACAGCACAGCCTGCAGGGTGTCAATGGGACTGGCCACAGCACGGCCTGCAGGGTGTCAATGGGACCGGTCACAGCACGGCCTGCAGGGTGTCAATGGGACCGGTCACAGCATGGCCTGCAGGGTGTCAATGGGATCTGCCACAGTAACACCTGCAGGGTGTCAATGGGATCTGCCACAGCACGGCCTGCAGGGTGTCAATGGGATCTGCCACAGCACGGCCTGCAGGGTGTCAATGGGATCTGCCACAGCACGGCCTGCAGGGTGTCAATGGGACCAGCTCTGCATGGACTGAGCACATCCCTACCCAGCCCAGATCCACCAGACCCAGCACTCCTGGGAAAAGGAACTGCAGAAACAACTTTACAAACCTGAACCCATCTACTCCACCTGGCTCCTGTCCTCAGTCTGCACCTCAAAGCCGCTTACCAGTGGAAAAAAGCAACTTGTCTTTGAAGCAGCTCCTCCCAGGACAAGCTCCAGTGCCTACCAGTGTCTGTATTTCACACACAGCTATTCAAATTAAGCATTTTTTCATCCAGTCACTGGATTGAGGCATCCATTCCTTCAGGTAACCTTGCAAGGTTCCAGCTTTGGAAGCACGTGTTTATTTTAAAGGGACACAGGCATTAGATGTAGTTAAAATAGATGAGAGGGTGGGGGTTCTGGTTAAGCTACTTGTAATATAGCATCAAAACTGCATCCAAAAATAAACAGCACTTGCACCTATTGTGATTAAATTCATAAATGCACATAAAACTATCTGACCCATCTTTCTGTTAAATATCCTATTTCCGGTAAAGACACTGTCCCCTCTTGCTTCTAATTTACATTAGAAAACAAACCTTCCAAGCATTCACCTCTAGCATAACAACCAATTAAAATAATTAAATAATTGAAATAATCAAAATACTTAATTAACAAAACCCCTGTATTCAACTAAGTGACTTCTTGAGAGAAACAAACTATATATAGTGAACTACACAGAGTTAGTATCCTGGTTAGTACACAATTCCAATCTGCACCATTTAGATCTAAGAAAAACATAAATACCAGATGTGCAGGAAATGCAAAATATCCAGTTTATAATACCCAGTTTTCAGTGTTAATTGTGCCACCTTTTCCCTTTTTCTAGATGTAAAAAATATAGTGAAAAAAATTAAAAAACCTCAAGCAGACACAATGTGACCTGCTCAGTATATCACAACTTAATTACACTTAATCAGTTAACAACAACAACAAAAAAATCACTGAATGTTTTTTTAAACCATTTTGAATTGACCACTAAATACTAAAAAGGCATTGGTGGCAGAGACGTTTCTGTTCAACCTTTTTTCCCCTCTGACAGGCAAAAAATTTGCTCTGACCACAGCTTGTTAAGCTTAGCTTGCTCATTCCTAAGATGCTTGTTAGTAATGAAATTTATGGCACCGCTTCATTTAGAAACAGATATCTATATTTTTATATATATATATTTATTTGTTAAAATATATCTGGGTATGTGTGCGTGTAAGTTCCTGTTAACAGCTGAAAGTTTACACCTCTTTAATTCTGGTGAACAGCAAAGCCCCCAAAGATGCTGTGAATGAAACGCAGAGTCCACTCAGCTGCTGGATGTTTGATTGGGAATGTTCATAAAGCAGCAGTGGTAACTGAAGGCATGGTGGGTGATGGGCTGTAAAGCTGACAGGCCCCTGGCACAGCACAGACACCACAGCTACAAGTTGTGTCAGCATTTATATGCACACAGCTCATGGAATTGTAAGCACTTTCCCAGAAGTGAATTCCATTCGATGGCACTATTTTACATTTTGCACAAAACGGTGCTTTCTGCCTCATTCCACAGCCCTGGCTCTTCCAGGATGCTAATAAAAAAATAAATAAATGAACTCAGGATCTAACCCACCACAGTCGTTTTTCCAAGTGCCTTCTGTTGTTGCCACTCATAAGGAGCAAAAAAACCCAAATAAACAGGAGACAACCCCTGCCTGCCTCTCCCATCTTATTCACTCATCTAATCTTACTGCAGATGGTAATTCAAGTTGGTTTTCTTAGCCCAGACAACATGGAACACTGTTTTATTCAACTGCTACACAGAAGAGATATGAATGGAGAGGACATGTTCAATGCAATCATGCCCTTCATCTAAGTATTTAAGGCAGATAAAAGACCGTGACAGAAATAGAAGAGAAATATGGAAAATGTTTACTCCATTAGTCCAGTTCTTGCTGCGTGTGCCAGGAGAGAAGGAGAAAGAAAAGAAATATTAGAAATAGAGCAGGAAATAAAGATTAAAAGACCATCTAGAAGCAAGTAGCAAATATGCAAGTTCTGGTCTTACTGTGTTAATGTAGACAGTTATTTTACTCTTTTAGCGACAAAATAAGCATTTTAAGGTATGTTTTAAGAGCATGAAGCCTGAATTACAAATTAACCAGATTCTGACTATCTAGGACTTGAAAACTAATGTTACTGCTGCTCCATATGTCAGCCACATCCATGTGAGGGAGCAGGCTAAACATCCCCACAATGCCTGTGGCTATGACAGATTGCTATTATGAACAGCATAAGGAAAAACCAAAAAGTGGTATTTTGAGAATTCAGGCAGCTTTTTCAACTGCTGATACGACCAAACCATTCAAGCTCTATTAATCTTTTTTAAAAGTTGCTTAGTTTGTAAACCAACCTCAGCTTTGTTATTATGACAAAAATTAGAACTGAGTATCGGAACGTTTTTGTCTCCAGATATTCAAATCTTAATCCCAATAATTCTTCATCCTCCTCCCCCCTTCCAGAGCACGAGGTAAGTGATTACAGACCACAGACCAGCAGTGCTGCAGTTTTTTGCATCCAGCTTACTCCAAGCTCTGGGCTTTCCCTGCTCTCCAGGTTTGCCCCATGGAATAGGCTGGGGCAAATATTTACTGCAGTTCATGGCAGCCTCACATCCCTGGCAGCTTGTTCACAACTCCTCTTTCTGGAACCTTGAAGGTGAGAGAGTTTGAGCTGTATTTACAGTGCCAGACTTACCTCAAACAGGTCATAGCCCTCAGCCTCCACCCTGTTGTAGGGCCGGATGATGCCATCCTCCCGGATGAGCCGTGGGGGACGCAGATTGGACACCTCTTCAGTCGACTCTGCCACCCTGCCATGGACAGTGCAACAGTGTTGTGGTAAACTGAATCATTTCTGAGTTCAACCAATATATCAGTTGTAAAATATCCCACTGGCACTTCCTGGGTACCCTCCAGGTGCAAAGACCCACTGCTGATAATAAATCAAAAGTAGCATCAGCCAATTAAACAGCTACAGAACGAGTTGGAGAAGTTTACTCCCAACTGCAGATAATTTACTGAGAGTTCTCAAGTATATTGAACACACTACCCAAAGGTCCCCTTAAAACACAAGAAGTTCCCGCTGACCAAATTTCTAACTGGGTATTTTTACTCTGAAAATTTCAGTGGTCTAACTTTTTACAGTAAGTTTAAATGACATTTAGGTATTTGCACCCAATAATACCCAAACCTACCTCTAAAGTAAAATTTACACAAGATCTTTAAATTCCTTTCCCATCAGGGGAAGGAGTGAAAGGAGAAAATTGATTAGTTATTGTCTACCTGAACTACAACACCGAAGCAGCCATTTCCAGATCATTATGGAAGACATTCATTACAGGCTACAAGACATTTCTCAACCTCCCAAATCATCCTGCATGTTGTACTTAACACAAATCATTGTGTGGCACTCTGGACCCCGTTACCCCTGGGAGAAGTGTGAGCCCTGTACCTTTGGATGCCCTGGAAGGTGGAGAAGGGTGAGCCCTGTACCTTTGGATGCCCTGGAAGGTGGAGAAGGGTGAGCCCTGTACCTTTGGATGCCCTGGAAGGTGGAGAAGGGTGAGCCCTGTACCTTTGGATGCCCTGGAAGGTGCTGCTGGCCATGTCCACGATGCCTCCCGTGGGCCGGGCCACCACTCCCACCAGCCCCTTCCCAATGCCCTTGAAGAATCCAGCTGCTCCTTCTTTTTTAGCCCCTTTGAAAGAAAGGGAACAAAAAAAGCAGTAGTTTTAGTGACTTTAAAGACATAAAGCACAGAATGAAAGCGTTGCTGCTCCAGGCTGCACCAGGAGTGGTTTGGATGGAAACAGCCATGGCCACTGATTCCATCCAATCCACCCTGACAAAAAGCTGTCCAGGGAAAGGCACACGTTGATTCCTGGTGTGTTCAGACTCATCACTGTTCACTTTATACCTCACCAGGCTCCAAGGCAGCACAACTGAGATGTTCCCAAGACTCTCCTGCTCACACTTTCAGTGTGGCCAATGGAGCAGCTCTTCCAGGCTGACAGTAAGAACAAATATTCTGAAGACACTCAGATGCACAAATGTAAGGGAAGAGAACTCCTGCTATCAGAAAATGACATGTATCTGCTGACACATAACCATGGAAGAGCAAAAAGAGAGTTTGGAGAGCATGTGTGTTCATGCACCAATGAGACAAGGACTACAGACCAAAGAATCACCCCAAAGCTGTACCAGTACAACACAGTAACAACTGACTCCCAACACTGCATCACTGGGACTCAGATTAGTAAGGGCCATTTTAGCTTGGATGATTTTCATTATCTATCGTACTGATGAAGTAACAGGAACAAATACTGATTTCAGTCATAAAGCCAAATTTACTTTTTAAGATTTTTCCAACTTCTGGAGTCCCAAAAAATTTTAATTTATTTTATTACTTTCAGTATCTTTATTTTGGTTTTAAACAATAAATTGGGTTCTACAGCAGCCCCAACAAAATACATCATGAGCACAAATCATTTGTTAACTCATACAAGGGTTGAAAAGGTGGTAAGCCAATACTAAAGATATCTGAAGAAATCATTATATGACTAGAACTATAAATCTTGCTATGCCTTAGCATCACCACACTTAGATTGATATTTGTTAAAATTACAAAATCAATTGTGAAGGACTGCAGTGCAGTGCAGCCCTAGTGCTTACCTTCCACTGGTTTGGTGATGATGCCTGTGACACCTCCAACAACCCCCTAAAAGAGAATAAAGTTCCCACTCAGGAACTGGAATGCTCCGAGTCCAGTTAGAGCATTCAGTCCAGTGTGCTGGCAGGACTAATCAATCTGCTGTACAGTAATCACCAGTCCTGCAACAATTCACTAATTATTTTCCTTTCACTACCAACAGGAAGCTGCCAGAATTCCCAGTCATGAGTAAGTGATACCAATTAGGGCAAGGTAAATTAACAGCAAATAATTCTCCAGGAGACTTGAAAGGTCGAGCTGTTGAAAGACACTAAGGCAGATGAATGAAAATGCCCTGACATAACTTCCTGTATCTTAGAAACAGTATCAGAGTCAACTCCACAATGTTTACTATTTAATAATTACTTAGAAATACATTGGCTGTTTTTATTTTGAATGGAGTGTGATGGAAATTATTAGAAGACTTAATTTGCAGTCATGTACTACAGACCTCTCAGTCTTGGTTTATGTCAGGTTTTTCTCATACACAGAAACAGATGTGATCTTCCAGCAACCAGAAGAGACTCCCAGTTTTAGATTACCAAAAAAATACAGTGGTTGCACAGCTTCTCTTTCAGAAAAAAAGCATCTCCAACCCAATGTAGTACTTACTTTTATACATATCCTACTTGCTTTATGCTCCCATTCCTTAGAGCCAAGAAAACCCAGCAGTTTTGTAAGACCTCAGCACAGAGAAAGTCATTTCTTTTATGCAGCAGAGCTCACAATTCACAGCCAGTTGACTTGACTGACAGAATTGACTGTAAGGTCAAGTAAGGGCCCAGTTACTTTAATTACCTCACACATTGGTTGAATGTGTTTGTTTATTTATCTAATTCACAGCAGCAATCAGTGTCATTCACTACACTTTCCCTTCCCAGGACCCTAACTGCAGTTCCTGTGACCAGAACCAAGAGCTCAAACCCCACACTGAGTGCTGTAAAGCACTGCCTGTTTGTGTCTCCTGCTCAGCTCATGAGCTGACAGAGAAGGCATCAGCCTTCCTTGCGGGTAGTTTTGCAGTCTGGATTTCCAGCGGGCACATCACACCCTCCTCCCCGAGCTCTTACCCGTAACAAGCCTTTCCCTCCCTTGGCCAGGCTCTCCCCAAAGTCCTTCGGCTGCCGACCCATTTCCTCTCTCCTTTTCTGCTGGAATTCTTCATCCAGAGTGATGGCAGCCAGGCCTTTGCCAACAGTGCCAGTGATCCTGGACACCACCCCTGCTGCACCACCTGGGGGAACAGGGCACATACCAGGGGTTCTTGCACAGCTCAACAGCAGACAACACACAACAATTCACAGCAAATCCCCCTCACAGTCAGTTTAGATAGGATGAATTTACACAGAGCAGATCCCTAAGGCTGGCCATGAGAAGACTCCAGGATGTCCATCCACACAGAGAAAGGGAACTCTTACATCACTACATGTTCTATATATAGCATACTGAATGACATAATATTCTCTCTAATCGCTGTAAGACACAGCTAAATAAAAATCTAAGGTAATTGTAACAGTAACTCATCTTAACAATACTTCTCAGGGTCCTCCAGACATTTCAGGTCCATTAGAATTCTGTTTCTTATTCATGCACAGCATGTTATTAATTCAGTTACATATTCAGTGTTTCTCAGTTTGGTTGCTCAGTCTACAAAGCAGACATTTAGATGGTCTGTGGTAAATTAGGTGTGAATGATCCGTATCACAAATACTGCCAACAGTGTGACAAACTTAAATACTCATCAGTGAAACACCACACAGGTATTTATCACAGCAGTAACAATGTGGCACATACCCACTGTGTGGCCAAGGAGACTCCTAACACCAATTACAAAGCCTTCAGCAAATTCTTCAGGTCCTTGAACAGCACCCTGAAAATGAGGTTTATTAGAAATAGAAACAGAACTATGCATTGGTGCATCTGCTTCACACTCATGCAAGTAAGGTAGTATGTTATTTCTTTAAAATTAACATTAAAAATTTACTGCTTTCTGACCTGTTCAGTGACAACAAAACTGCAACCCTCCCAATATATTCTACCAGCCTGCTATAAACACACAGTCACAGGATCAGCGACTCATACCTGGAATGGCTCATAAAAGAAAGCTTCCACTCCCTCAGACAAGCCTCTGATTAGGCCAAATGGATTTCCAAGAACATCTAATCCAAGCACAAGGACATACATCTGTTTCAGGAACTAAATAATGAGGGGAGAAAAAAGGCAGAACCCAAAAGCAGTGTTAGGAGCTGTTGTTACACACAGTTCATGTCAGAACCCAAAGGTGGTACACTTTGTAATTTACTGCCCAAGGAAGGTGTTAGAATACTCAAATGCTCCTACTAGAGTGGAGATAGGCTTAGGCAGATGATGTATTATATGTTAGATAACTAACAGATACTGTTACTGAAGAAAGATAAAAATAAAAAGAACAGAAGGAATAATTTAAAAAAATTTAAAACACATTTAAGGACACTTCTCTGTTTACATTTTCATAATTGTGTCACCAGATCCCTACTGCAGTATCATGAGATAAATTAGTAGCTTTCAGAGGTATTCACCTTTTCTTTCCTATTTTCTACATTCTCTGAAGCATATACTCAAAATTTGACACAAGGCTTGACTAAATAATTACCTGTTCACTGTAATGTCTAACAACTCTCTTCATCAGTTGATCTCTCTTGTAGAACTGATATTTGATTTCAAAGAAAGCGAGTCTGAAAGAGAAATAATCACACATCAGTAATGGAGACCCTTCCTCCTTCAGTGCCTTCAGGTAATCCTGAAGCCCAATCCTCTTCAAAAGGATCCCAAACCCCCTCATCCCTCACTCCTCCCTTTCCCCCAAGGAAAAGAGGGAACTGTATAAACTTACACCAAAGTTTACCACGGATCCAATCAGTAAGTGTAGAGTAGCTAAAGTCAAAATATTAAAAAACCCCACCAGTTTTATCATCTTACTTGAAAACAACGTCATCCACATCTGTCAGAGTGGCTCCAATGCTTTTCAGCAGCAGGTTCAGAGAATGGATGGCTATCATGTCCTCCCCCTTGTCTGATGCTTCCCCACCAGAAGCCAGAGACAAACTCAAATGCAACTGTCAAGATAAAATGAGTAAAACAAGACAAATCAAGGCCAAAACCACCTCCAAAGCACAGCAGACAGATTGTGTGGTGCATGTGCAAAACAATCAGCGGTGAAAGAGTGGAAAACTCTGATGAAATGTGCCATTTCAACAAACATGCTTGTGCTCACATTGGTATTAATATAAATAGATACATATATTATCAAATACCTTAATTGGAGAAATATGGAAATGTTCAAAGAAGCTGAGCATGGACAGGTCTGTCAGGGAGGACTCCATCAGCTCAGTGTTCAGTGCATCCACATCTGGCTGAATTAGTTTAGACTGGTTTTGTCATGTCAAAATGAAAAGGGGAAAAAAAAGGAAGTTTATCTCATTAGCATATATGTAATATAATTAATCATATATCTAAATATATGTCATATATATAAAGAGTAGAAATAATAATCATAGTCAAATACAGTTAACTACTTAAATATTTAACTGTCCTAATGTATTTCTTGTATCCAGGGTAAACAAACAAAAAAAACCCCAAAACAATCAACAGCATAAAAAACCAACACCACAACCCCACAAAAACAAAACAAAAAAACCTCTCATACACAACAATTTAACAATTTCTGGGTCATTTTTTCATTTTATACTACACTGATATTCACTTAAATTCCTCAGTCACTTAAGGAATCACTTCCATAGGTTCTTTGGGGTATTTTTTATTTCCTCACAAAGTTACAATTTTTACATAGAATATCTGAAAATGTTTAACAGAAATACCAATACTAATTGAAAACTATCTTATTATGTCCCTTAATTCACATTTGTGAAATGCAAATTCACTTATTTAAACTGAAATTTTCAGGAACTTGCAACACTAGAACCATGAAGGTTTCAGGAAAAATCAATTCTTCTCACACATTACCCTTTGTCTTTCAGCTTCTGGGTCTGTAGATGGAGTGAAAAGTTCACCAAGTGCTCCTAAAAATCCCTGATCAATTTTCAGTGCCATTTCCTGGATAAGAACCATGAAGTACCTAAAATGGGAAAACCAAACGTGCATACTTGGAGAAGTTGAACTGGACTATCCCACGCTTGCCCTACACAGTTGGAGCTTGGCAGGATTCACAATCTACAGTATCAACTGTCAATGTCCCTCAGAAATGCTTATTGACCACACAAACCTACATTAATGTAGTTTATTCAACCCTAATACTTGCAAAATTTATCTAAAAACCATCACCAAATACTTCCCCATTCCCACATTACAATTCCAGGCCCTTCATGGATAGCACAACCTGAACAACACATTTCCAAGTGCCTCTCTTCAAGTCATACTATTGAATATTTATTTTAGTAAAATTCACCATCCTCAAATACTACATTCACACTAGCTGGGTACAGATATTTGCATTAGAAACCATCAGTATCATGTTTCTGTCTCATTTTTAGTGCAGGAACTCCAGACACAGACATACTCACTAACAAACCTTTTATACTGTACTGGGCCACTTGAAATCATTTGTTGTTGGAGCACCAAACACCCAGCACTGAGCAGACAGACACACAACTCTGATAGTGCAGTTCAAGATGGAAATTATTCTGATCATGAAAGAATTTGCATAACAGCCCCATCATGTGGTCAGCCCCTGCTTTCTAAAAACAAGTTCCATTTAAAACAATGTTTTTTCATGGGAGACATTTAAAAATCCAGCCAAAAGTCAAGCGTTGTTTGGATAGGAGAACAAACTGTAGAGCAAGGTTCCCTTCTAAAATATATTTAAAACACACTAAATCCCTAAAATTGTGTGACAACACAGTGTTAAACTCACTTGAATTGCAGCACTTTGCTGTACTCGTTGAATCTGGTGATGACACTGATATCAATGAAGGGTTTTGGTTCTAAATAGAAAAAAAAGCAGCTAAGAATATGCCTAAAATAAATTGCCAAGTTGCTACTTGGCTGAATAAATCTGATATTGCCATGGGCTTCCTCTTACCTGAATCCAAAGCAATGGACTTGGGAGGGGGTACAGGATGAAACACAACAGGAAACATCGATCCTGGCAACTGATTATCCACCTAAAACATTATTGCATCATCACAGGGATATTTTAGTGACACGATAAACACAATTTCCCTTTTAGAAGACTTGAGGTTGTGTTGAAGAAGAATGTCAGCCATATCTGGGGGGAGCAGGGCAGAGTGAAGGGGTTGCTCTGGTTTTATTGTCAATGGCACCCATCAGCTCTGAAAGCTCAGATGGGGGCAGTGTGGCACAAGGGATGGGCCCAGAGGGTCACACCCACGGGCACTGCCAGGGCTGCCCTGAGGGACACACTGACTGCAGCACTCAGACTGCCCTCAGCCCAACAGAACACCAAACCTGGGCACCACGTGCCCCACATCTGGAGACACTGCTCGGCACAGATGAACACAACCCAAGGCTCCCTGCTCAGTGCACAGACACGGGGAAGGAGGGGCAGTACCTGCAGCCAGTACAGCTGAGCCCGTAAGCTCCTCTGGTGAGGGGACTGCTTGAATTCCACCTGAATTCCCGACAGGAAGTTCCGGCGGATGCTGCACCGGACTGGCAGACGCATTTCCATGGGAAACTTACTGAAATTCACCTGCAAGTGGGAGGGAGCAGAGCTAACATAGACTGAGAGACGATCAGCTGTTCTGTTCCTGGTAAACAGGCCAGCAAATAAAACCTGGGGTTTTCCTTATTCCCCGATCTGATCACATGGCTACTGGATTACTCCACAAAAACCACAAGTCAGTCTGACAAAGACATTCAATTGTAGCTTTAGTTGTCCCTCAGCAGAAACCTGTGCCATCTTAGTAACATTTTCTTCATGAGTTCTGTATTACACTGGATAATTACAGATATTTACACACAGCTCACTACTTTCCCTATAGATACAGGACCTACAGATACAAGGTTTGATATCATGTACTATAAATGCCCCACTGGCATGTACAAAACCTCAGTGTTCAGACAGCTGAGAGGATATGCATGATTTGCAAATGAAAGGATGATATAGAAAACAAGCCTGATTATGGTCCTATAAAATACCTGTGTTGAACTTGGCCATTTAAATACATTAAGTTTATGCATGGAACACAGGCATGTACAATCAATGTCTGAGAAAGATCAGGTAATTGAATTGATTTACAGAGTCTGAACACTCCAGGCTCCTTTATCATCTCAAGCAATGGAAACTGCAGCTTCCTAAGAAGCTCAAACTAAGGTTTCTACAAAGAATTTAAGGCACCTCAGTGTGAATACAGGTTCACAACTAGCATGCACACACCAAGCAACCTCCTCTACCACACAAAACCAAAATTCTTTGAGATTTTTACTTCATAACACAGGTCTGGGAATGCCTCAATATTGCCTCAGTATCACCACAGTACAGAAACATTGTACTGTGTAAAATGTGTAACTATTCAATCAAAAAGGTTGCTTTCTGTTTCTGTTTCTCCTAAAACAGCATCTATCCTCGCTTAGCAGAGCAGCAATCAGTTTTAGCTGTTGCACATGTTCTGCAGAGAAACACTGAACCCCACACATACCTCAGTGTTGCTGTCCAGTTTATGCCACCCAGGACCTTGGAAAGCTGTCTTAGAGAGATACTTTTGATAGGCTTGTTCCAACAGGTTTATTTGCTTTTGATTAAATGGTTTCCACTTGTGCTTTGGTTTCCTTTCCCAAACAACACCAGAACTGCAGGACAAATAACAGTGTTAACAATTTGAGGCCTCATACCTTTTTTGTGCATGCAAACGATGTAAAATATATTATTCTAATTTCTCAGGATCAAAAAAACTATTTCTTTAATGCAAGCCAAAAAAAGGAGGCAGTTAAATCCTACTGGCTCTAATTTCACAACAGGGGTATAGGCAAAACTTATCTTTAATTAAAAAGCTTCCACTTAACTAAATTGGAAATATATCCCTTTCAACTCTAGTACTGAAATTATAACAAGCTGTCCCATTTTGATTTTTCAGAGGAGTATTTAGACTTCCACGTGCAGTACCTGGTAATTCCTATGTAAGAGATTTCTTTTTTATTTTCATTGTTAACCAGAGAAAGCCCCAGGCTGTGGATGGACAGGTTTATTTCTTGGTCAGGTTGCTCCAGCTCCTCTGCCTGGCGGGCTTTAGAGACCAGAGCCACGTCATCAGTGAAGAGCAGCACCCGCTGACGCCCGTCCAGGAAGGACACCCAGTGGATCTGAGTGTTGGCATTGTAGGGGAACTGGCCACAGTCATCCTGCATTGGGAGAAAAGTGGATTCCATCAGTAAATCCAGGCTGCTGCTGGGTGTTCTGAACAGCTTTCACACACACACACAAAGCAGAACTCAGTGCTTGCCCTGTTTGTTTTACTGTCTCCTGATGATTTGGTTGCATCTTGTACCTTAACTCTGAAAACAAGTGGGAGGTTGGGATATTCCAACTTGGAATTTAAGTGTTACTTTTCACAGCAAAAATGTTTAAAAATTAATTGTAAAAATCTTCTGGTTTTCCACCCTGAAAATTCAGGGCACTTTGGCTTTAAATATTTGCTATTCTTTATTTTCTTGTGAGTTATCACCATCAGTGACACACATTTAATAAAGATGAATCAGTAATTTTACAAAGAATTACTAGAGCTAACAACAACAGGTATCAACTAAAACACAATATCATAGCACTAATATGTAATAAAGGAAAAGAGGGGCTTTTTCCCCTTTTGTAAACTAAAGATTCCAGCACTATTTGTGGTTTAGAATAATACTGGAAATCATTAGGAAACAAAGACCTTCACAGCAAAGCAAAAGGTAATGGGAAAGAAGGCAATAAATTATAAACCACAAAACAGTAAAACACATGACAACTGTTAAGATCTCTGAACTTCAAATGCAGATATTCCTTACTTTTTAATTTGTGAGGGAAAATTCAGATCATTAAAGCCCTTTTTTCAAAAGCCCCAAATAATCATGAATGTAACCATAATTATAAAGCCAGGAAATCAGTTTCAAACTAAAAACATTTTAAATGTAAAAAATTTGACCCAAAAAAATGTTCATACAGTAAAGCTGACTGGAGATGGTTAACTGAGATCAGTTGAGTGAAATTAAACCCATTCCCAGCAAAACTGAAACACAAACTTGATTTCCTATCCCTCCTTTTAGCTACTAATACCTTTCAGTTTTCTTAACTACGCCCAGCCAACACACAAACCACCTGTGAGGAATTCAGATTTTAGTGTGAGGTACAAGCAGGCAGCTATTTCGAGACAGACAACACAGCCCACATTCCAGTTAAAGGAGAAGAACCTTCCTCCAGGAATGCTTGCTTCCCATTTTCCAACAAAACACCTGCTCTGTCTTATCCCACAGTTACCTCTGCTTCCAGTCACACTGCCCCTGTTCCTCTCAGTCATTTTTCCACCTTGGTCATTATTATTTTGCCCCCACCCCACACGTTTTCCTGGTTTAGTTCTGCATGAGTTACAAACGTGGAAATAGCTCTGAGTGAGCAATTCAGAATTCTCTGCTCCATGCAAGCATTTCCCACAGGAAGTGAGAGTCACAACAGTGGGGGGTTTCTCCATCTTTAGGGAGATACTTAAGGCAAATGCAGCACTGCTGGAAAGCTGGTGAATTATTCATCCTCTCTAGTATTTAGATACTTCCACAGCTCCTACACTTGCTGCTCCTTCTTCCATATTCACAAAATCCAGAGTAAACGCAAGCTGCAGTTTGTGTCTGATCCTCTGAATATATTATTCTAAACATCCAAAATCTTGCTGCTTGACAGGAGGCTCAAAGGTCTCTTACAGGACAAGACAGATGTGAAGTTACTGAGGAAGTTTTCTCCCAGGTAGTGTTAACCTTTTAACAGTCCCAGACTGGTTCAGCATTTCCTTCTCCCCTTCTGAATTTACCTTAAGTAGGTCATGTTCACCAAAATTCTGGCTGTAGCCCCAAGTCAATTTTCTTGGTTTAGTTGGATCTGTCCAGGCAAACAGGCACACTTGCCTTGGTTTCAACTCCATTTCCTTTTGTAATCCACTGCAGAGTAAAGGAAAAGCAGCAGAGAACAGCATTCACTGGTTAGGAGCAGTGAGGAGGGGAGCAAGCAAATCCCAGTGCTAAATCCTCCCCCCTCCAGCCTCCAGGGTGAGGGGTGAAGGACCCAGGCCATCCACCCCAAACAAGGCCAGCTGGAGGTTCACCAGCTCTTGGTGAGCCTGGATTTATACTCCCACCTGATTCCCTCCACTGTCTCAAACTAAGACAAAATACTTCATTAAAAGAATATGAGAAAGAAAAGGGGTTTTACCTATTTTTCAAGGTACCATAACGGTAAAAGAGAACTACTTTCTTCCCAAAGGGCAGCCCTGGTTAAACCATCAGGGGTGAGCAGTTTGTGTCACCTACCTCTGCTTGTACCTGAGGGAGTCCCACGGGGTGTGGTTCACAATCAGGGCTGGGGCAGCTCCCTCGTGGTAATCAGAGAAGGTTATGAGAGTAGAGTGCTCAGAAACATTCACATCCACCAGCAAGCCCCCATTCTGGAGAAGGAGTTAGACAAAGTCCAGTATTTGTTCTATACATAAATTCAATTTAGAACAGACTAAACTGCTCCTTTTAGATCAGTCTTTCACTGGCCTCTTATAAATTGAATAAGGAAATGTCCCCTGCATTATCCAGTAACAGCAAACTCAAACACATTAGTTGCTGACTTTAGGCAGGTATCGGTAGCATCCACAAAATATTTTTTGATACAATTGAAAAAATATAGTAAAATTACAGATTTTTATTAATTACTTCATTTGGCCAAGTTCAGTAAAAAGTAAATGTGATCATTCCCTTCACTTTCTGTTACAAATTCAGTCCCATTTAAAACTGCAGGTTCCTGCATATTCCTTAAAAATGTGAAGGTCTAGACCAAGTTCAGTGTAAGTTTGTAAAGTACAACAAATACAGCAAAAACACATTAACAAACTGAGCAGAAAAGTTCTGTTCATTAAACCTCTCAACAATTCACCCTGACTCTTTTCTCCTAATGGCTTTCCAGAGACATGCCCAGCACCACTGTTCTCATCTGCTGGTACAAAGGAGGTACTCCATGCTTTCCCTTTGCATTGTCTCTTCAGCCACCTTTCTCAAAACGCTCCTCTGGCAAGATAATTTGATTTTCCTGAGACATTTTAAGGTCTGAGGAAGAGGTGGGAGGGGACACATCCACCTTTGGAAAAGGTGCTTCAGGAAACGTGGAGAGCTGGATTATCCAGACAGTGACCTGTATTGCAGTTAGTTATGATCAGCATCACCTCCAAAGCCTTGTCTGAGCATGCTGTATTTATATACACATTCCCTAATGCAGGCTAGGGGAGTACTGAAATTAGTAAGATTCTGCTGATTGAATCATAAATTAGTTGGCCCATGAGCTGAGTGTGGCCAACATGCAGTGGATTATCAAGAAAACAAAAAATGCTATTCCTTTTAGGATAACTATTAAACAAACTGAAGGCACCCAAGACATGCCCTCTGCCAAAACCCCAGATGTCAGAGGTGCAGTCTAACATTTCACCATTTGAACTCAATAGAGCTGTTCATCTTCTTACAGGGTTAACACAAGTAAATTACATTGACTGCACAGCTATGAAAACCATCAACAACACTGCAAACTTGATTCCCAGCCTTTTTTATGCCTCACAGCTGAAGGGCAGTGTACACACAGTTTTGATCCTCGATGATCCTGGTGAGTCAAGCTAGCAGAGGGCTAAAGTGGAGTTTAGAACAGAGCACACAGTCAGTCTCACCAACTCTTCCAGTTTCAGCAGGGTACCATTGTCCTGGGCATTAAACAGGAATGGTTGGGATGGGCTCTCGTAGCCAACTACTCTGACACAAAGTTCACCAGATGAGCTTTCAGGCCAGAATGGAAGACACTGTGAAACAAGAAATGCATGTGAGTTGAACAGTTCCTGTTGTTCAGTACAGTGAGCCAGCAGTAAAACAAACAGGTTTGTGACTATCTCACATGCCTTAGTTCTTACCCAAGGAGCTACTGATGAACATCTCAGCTACATTTACTAAGTTACCCAAACTGAAGCACTCCATTAATGTACCAACATATGCAGCCTGTGCTGCTCAAGTTCCCCTGAGATGTGAAGCACCCAGGTCATCCCTCAGAAGTGACAGCTCCCATAAGAGAACTGCTCCTTCCTCAAGTGACACCTCGAGACCAGCTGTTTGTCTGCAACAACATCCAAAGGGAAAAACATGAAACATTACCTCTGAAGCTGAGATATAATTCCATTTATTAGTTGGAAGAGAGCCACTGGGACCAATTTCTCCAACTTCAAGTTCCAGAGAAGACTTGTTTGCTATTGTGTAGAATGGAGTGAAGGTAACTATCCTGGTCAGGTTAAAACTGCTCATTTTGATGCTGACTCCAACCTGTCAAACAAGGACAATTTGAGCAAACAATCAACAGCAAGCTTTGAAGAAAAGTCAGGATGGAAAAGAAGGAAAAGCCAACACTACAATTACAAAACCTGGCACACAACACTCCTGTTCTGAACAGCTGAAATAAAAGAACCAAATGATATGGAGTAAAGTCAGCAAATTATGCAACACAATTAACTCAAAAGTCAAGTGACATTTTAGCTGCAGCATTTTGTAGCTGTGGCATCTGTGGGGAAAACCCAACAGGAATCCTCTAGAGTAAATAAAGGCAACCTAAATTGACCATTATCATCAGAAAACAGCTAAAGAATACATGGAAACACAACTCCCCACATATTTTTATTCTGCTTAGTTGTGGAAATGTAGTCTTGGATAAGGACTGAAGACCTGGACACCTGCAATTATGCATTATGCTATGAACTCTTCTCTCCATTATGCACATTCACCACTGTGTTTTCAAACAGCCCAGAACTGCACATTTGTTATACAAACCACGTTTATGAATTGAACTGAAACTTCTATTGGTCAAACTACTTGTTGCCACATGCAGACCTGAATAGCTGGGGTATAAATGTCATTAGCCTAAATGTTGAATATTTCCATGCTTGAAAAGCAGTGTAAGAAGTGAAAAAAGGCCTTAATGAGGGAAAGAAGTTAAGGCTAAAGAATCCCAAGAGAGCTTCCCAAAACACAGTAAGATATCTTACCAGGTAGTCCATGTTATTAGCTGAACACCTGACACATCCATAGCTTCCTACAGTATCGAGGGAAAAGCTGCTGGACCAAGTGCTGGTTGAAATACAGAGCTGGATCTACAGACAAAAAAACAACAACATGCAAAGTAATGCAACAAATGCACTGTAATTCTACAGCTCGTGCATTAGGGAGTGCAATCGCATCACACAGAGCAGTATGAAGACAACACTTCAGTGCTTTAAAACCTTCTGTAAGTTTAGATAACTTACAGTTATCTCTATATATATCTATAGTATCACTACTGATGTTCTGATTAGTCTGGGCCTGAGTTCTGGAGATGTTACAGTACGAGGAGCAAATAGAGGAGCACTCATGGTCTGCTCGAGGCAGCATGCACATTTGGGAAAAAGCCTATATTTTGAGGTGGGAGGAAATAAACACTGTTTCTACAACCATTTTTTCAACTACTGTTGGGTAAGAAAAGTTATTTTAAAGGAATGAAAGGATTTTTTCTGGAAAAAATCTTCTGCTGCAGTACTCTTCACTTGACCATGCAAACAGCACACCAAGAAAAAATCCAAACTAAAGAAATGTGTTTAACACAAAACAGCGTATTTACAGTGTGCATTTTAAATGTCAAAGTACCAAAGAAACCAACTGCCAAATAAGAGCCTTTAGGCTTAAAAACTACATAAAAATACTCTTTATAGGAAATGTCTGTGCGTTTTCCCCCTCAGAGCAGGATTTATAATCAGCATACCTTATTTTTACTAAAGATGTTTTTCTTTTTAAACGAGAACAGAACAATGTCTCTGTAGTCTGCTGGATGCTTCACATGAGTGTCCTCAGCTCGGTACTGCAGAACACGGGAGGTCTTGTTGATGATCCAGTAGGGACTGAAGACGGCCAGGACCATGCGGCTGCCGAGCCTCCTGGTGTGGATGTAAACATCCACGGTCATGGACGCTGCAGAGTGCGAGGTGAAGCACACGGGGAAAAACTCCGGCATCCCCTCGTGAATTTTAAGATGCCCATTCCAGTCTTTGCCTTGGTATTTTAACAGCACAAGTTCCATTATTTCTCCGTTGATTCTGGAATGGAAAACGTCTGCGGCGCTCCCTTCGGTTAATTCCCGGGCTTCTGCTGTGCCCTGCAGCAAAAGTGGAAGAGGTAAATTAGGATTTTAATATATAAAATTACGGCATTCAAAACCCAGCACTTTATTCTCTTGCAGGATGCACACTTCAGGTATCTCAGTACCTGGCAGAGTTGGCCAGGTACATCCAAATTCAAAAAAATTAATCCCCAAAAAGGCCAGAATCAATCCATGATCTGCCTCATTCATTTACAATATAAAATACAAACCCCAACATTCATTATCTTACACACTACATTCACATGCACTTCTTAGTAAATACAGTCTTACATAAAACTGAGTAAAGGATTTACAAATAAACCCTAAAATAAACTTACCTCCAGTAAATATCTCAAGGAGTACGGCAGAAGATTCCTCACAGTGAGTGTGGGGTAAAGGTGGATAATGTAGGCAGGATCCCACTCCTCTTCATAGGGTGAAATAAAACTGAGTTCATCAGGTACAGCTGTTGAGCTGATGATCAGAGGCAGGAAATTTGTCTCCATGGCTGGGCACTGCAACAAGCACTTCACTTCAGTGCTCCTGTGCAGCTCCTCCCTCCAGGCAATGTAGGTGGTGGACTCTCTGAACTGCCCCTCGAACACCCCCGTGGGCCGGACATACAGGTGACACCTGCAGGGAGAGGGCAGGAAATGGGACACAACAATGGGATTGACAACTTAAAGTCACTGCTAACACTCTACAGTGCTTTTGCAGCACACTCACTACCCAATCACACAGTCACACAATCAAGCAGGTTGGAAAAGACCTCTGAGATCATCGAGCCCAACCTGTGACCCAACACCACTGTGTCACCCTGGGAGCAGAGCCCGACTCTCCCTGGCTCCCCCCTCCTGTCAGGGAGCTGCAGAGAGTGATGAGGTCCCCCTGAGCCTCCTCCTCCCCAGGCTCAACAACCCCAGCTCCCTCAGCTGCTCCTCACAGCACTCGTGAAAAGGCAGCATTTTGGATTTGGTAGGAAAAATTCCAAGTGCACATTTTGGTCAGGAAGATTTCCAAGTGCACATTCAAGCTCCCCCAGCAGTGCTGTATTTGTGCATCAGAGATCAGCCCTGGAGAACATGGAAAGCTTACGTGTAGGAGTGCAAAGGAACATGGAATTCTTCCTCTGGCCTGGAGATGCCAATTGCCTCCAGCACCCTGGAGCCTTTAGCCAGTTTATAGATCATAAATGGGATGGAGAAATGGTTCTTGATCTGGAATCAGAAGGCAGAAGTTTCATTGCATTTCTGCAGTACAAATTTCTAAAGGAAAAAGGATGAATAACAAGAAGGAAGAACAGCAGTAGCAGATTTAACCAAACTCCTCTAGAAAACAGACTTTATGTGTCTTAAAGCAAAATACAATTTTGAAGGAGACAATACACAAGCATAGGAGAAAACACTTCATTTCAAGTCCCATGAACTGAAAAACATGCTTAAAATGCCAAGTTGCATAAAAAGTATCTTCGATGTTGAGGATATTAGAAAGTCAAAAGGAAAAGGAAATAACAGATTTTTCGTTTATCAGTAAGACACACACATACAGAATGCAGATCAAAATTCATGTAACAAAGAGAGCAAAATACTTAATATTGGCCTTTGAGTAACTTCTTGGGAAAGTTACTCAACAAGATCTCAGAAAAGGCATTAAGGAAGAAAGGCCCAGTCGCTCACTGCAGTGCTCTGGGCTGGGTTTTTACCTGCAGAGGGGAGCGCACAGTGATGACCTTGTTCCCTTCTGTGGCGTCAATCTGCACGATGATGGAGTGGGAGTGGCCGGCAGGGCTCCTGGTGTTGTACAGCCGCCGGCCCGGCTTGGCCACGGGAATGCTCAGGGCGTCCTTGTACCCCTGCAGTTCTGAGCCACAAACACACACCGAGGGCTCAGTCAGGCCAAACAAATCCCACTGCCATCCCCTGCTGCAACAGTTCCCTGCAGTGCAACAGCAACAGCCAGGATCAAAGCACTCCCTGGCAAAAGCACCTGAAATGGTACTTGAGTAGCACTGAAGGAAAGCTTTAAGGCCCAAAGACTCCTCAAGACTGTAACTTTAGATCCACAGCCCAGGAAACGCCCCAAGCAGTAAACAAAGGTGTTCACTGGGTGAGGTACTGAAATGCAACACAGAACATGATCTTTGTATCAAGGCCAAGTACCTTCAGATGGGATGTGATGGAAAGGAAAAAACTCAGATTATGTATTAGTAGCTGTTGCATCCCATTCTCTTGGGAGTGTTTTCTGGCAAAGCTAAAAACCAGAAACATAACTGCTCTGGAGTAGCTGGGTAACTGCAGGAAGCCAAACAGCAGTAAGAAAGTAGGAGAAATGAAGATCCTGTTTAACAGGAGCTGGAATGCACAGGGCTGTGTCACAGGGTCTAACATGGTCTAGCCATGACTCCACCAGCATGTCCATTTCTTTAAAGGGGGAAGCAAAATTAGTGTTCTTTTTACTCTCTGGAAAACTGGAGAAAAGGAATTTTACATGTTTTTAAGAACTCCAGTAGCTGTTTTGGGCATCAGTATTCAAACGTGGTTCCAACCCCATGTACTGACATGCATTTCCCCCACACGGATTTGCCCCTGCTGATGTTGATGTTCCACTAGCAGTGCTCCCCAGCACAGTACCTAAGTTCAAGGAGAAGATGGTGCTCTCCTGTCGGTGCAGGGCAGACAATCTGCCCCGCTGGGGCACCTCACACGCAGAATACTCCAGCTCCAGGCTCTGACCAACCTCGATGTCCTTCGTGTTCTCTTTGCCAGTGGAACCAACTACCCGAAAACTGGAGCTGGGGAGCACTTTGAGAGGCACCCCCAGGGCGTTTTTCACTACAAAAGGTGCTGTCTCTTTGAAGGAATAGTCAAATGTGGAGGCAGTCGCTTCGGAAAATGCCTGGAATTAACACCAAATAAAAACTGTCACACATACATAAATAGAACATATCCAGAAAGGCAGTTCCCAGCAACCAAAAAGAGTGGCAAAATTATATATATAGCAAGACCTATGCTTTGTATAATAGTATTTCAGGGAAGTGAAGGTCACTTCCAGAGAATTTAATTTATTCTGTGATTTGCAGTACATGTTGATGCTACAATAAGCACTCCTGCTCCTCACAGGGTGTTTTTCCAGTTCTTGGGTTGTAAAAGAAACATAAGATCTGGGACAAGAGGAGTCATAAGGACATGGAACATATACATGCTTCATATTCAATCACAACTTATGCTTACAAACAATTGCTTGGTTCCACAGAGCCATGAAAACTGACTGCCAGCAGAGACTTACAGTGTCAGCAAGTACTTACAGAACTGCTGCAAAACTGCTTTTAATTTGGAATCAAAAAATAAACAGGCATAAGTCACATTTTGTAAAAATGGTTTGATTTAGTAACCAAAATCTCTTCATCCCCTAAAAAGAGGAGGGAAAAGCAGCCTAGATCATTCATAAGCACATCTTCTATCACCAGAAAAACAGGGTATTTTTAACACACTGGACATTCTACTCCTACATTTTTAAGGCCAATCCTAAAATGCACACTTTCAATAAAGGAGAAAAACTGGAAAGGAAGGTAAAATTTCTCTTTTAATATTTCAGAAAGAGTCTTGTAGGAAATAGTTGTGTTTATTGGAGCCTTTCATTTTCATTTGCATGTATGATCTTTCCTTAAGTCCTGCATAAGCACATTTGTTGCTCTGACACAGAAGCTGCTTCTTTGAAAAGCTCAGCACCGCCTTTTTGTCAACCCCAAAAGGGCTAATGGCAGTAAAACTCCTCAGCCCTTCCAGGTACCACCTGTCAGAGCTGCAGAACAGCCACTGACCTGTGACTGGCAGCCAGTAAAGTTCTTTTTTAAAGAAAAACCAGAACTTCCTACAGAACCCCACAATTCAGCCTGTTCTGCCCATTGGAACTACCTTGGCCAGGTTACTGCAAACAGCCAGACAACACTTGGATATTGTGATATTCATTGTGTCCTTGGAGGAGATGCTAATGGCAGTCTGGGGCTCAGGAAGAACGATGAAATCATCCCCAGGCATCAGACTTCTCTCCTGGACAGGGTTAGTCTTCATCTGAAAGAGAAAGTTCATTGGGCCTTTACGAACACAGAAGTTCCTTTCTCCTGTGTTAACCCAGGAAAAAACTTGACCTACACTTGACAATTCACCAGAAAAAGTAAACCCTACTTTACTTGTAAAGCTCAGATGCCTTAAACAAACATGGAAATTTTATACCAACACTGAAGGCAGTCATTTTCTTTCTGTCATGCACTGGACAATTAACATTATTCAGAAAAACCTTAAGATGTCTAAAAATGGATTCTTTTTCCCCAAGTGAAACTGCACATCTCCCTCAAAACAACAGCATTCAAAAGGTCAGTGTTCTGCCACACAAAACTCTGAAGACATTTGAGAACAGCTGCCTATTCAAACCATTCACATGGTTTTTTGAGTAGTTTACATACCTCCAGTTTCAAATTCCACTGCTTCTTTCCTCCTTCAACTCGTTCAATAAGTGGCTCCCACACTGCATAGGTTTCATTGTAATAATGAATCTGAAGACATAACCAAAATTAAATAAAAATAAAAAACCAGGTTCCTTCCAATAGAAATTATTATGTAAAACATTAATAAGAAAACAATCCATTTTGGAGGTTCTAGCATTAACTTTTAATGGCTTAAAAATTAATACACAAAAATGTGATATATCAAATTTTTTCATCAGTAAAGATCATTTTTGGAGAGTTCATTTTCTGGCTGTCTTTGAGAGCAATCAGACATCCTGGTAACACTACCATGTGGTTGCACATGTGGCTGTATGGAATTTTAACCTGCTGCCTCCATTAGACTCTATCACCTTGGAATGCTATCTCTTTTTGAGAACAGGGTGTGGTTTCTATCTTACCAATGAACTCGGTGCCACAGGAACAAGGAAAGGTGGGCAGCAATATGAATATTTAAGTAAGCCAAGCTCATTGTTCATACAGCAAAACTTGAGCATGAAAAAACAGTAGAGAAACAGAGAGGGCCAGATTATTGCACACAGCCACTGCCATTAACATCTACCACTGATTCCTGTAAAAACCACATTTTGCTTGGTCACACTTGCCTGACTGCTAAAGAGCTCCTAAGAGCATCACAATTTAAACCCATTATTAATTCAGCCCAGACAGAGTGCACTGAAAAGTTACTCGAAGGTCAGGAACCGTGCAGAAGTGTCTGAAACTGCTAACAGCTGGATCCCACACACCTCCAGGGATGTGTCAGCAGTGACCTCCATCAGCGACGACCAGTTTTTAAGGACCCCTGAGAAAGCAGATTCCACCAACAGTAAAGGGACAGTGCGATGTCCCAGCCCACACTCCAAGGTCATCTGCACTGATTTCACCACGATGTCAAACTTCTCCTGTTTCACAACTTGTTCCCAGTCCTTATAAGTTTCTGTTGCTTCTGTGGCAACATCAACACCGAGAAACCAAGCATTGCACTCATCCACAGGCTTCACTTGCCACAGATTCTCAGAAACTTCAGCTGCTCCTCTGGAATCCTCCTCTGTTGCCTTGGGTTTTATGGCAGCCATAATGGTAATGACAGTGTTCAGAATTATGGGCGAGATCTTGAACAAAGAGCAAGAATCTTTTATTAAAATACAACATCTATTATAAATGGAAATAGCAAATATTACAGGCCCTCATAAGAGATGCAACTTAAATTCCAGTGCAGAATGCATTCATGGTCCTCCTCTTGTTTTCCTCTCCTACAAAACGTCCCAATTCCTCCCTCACAATCCCACAGGACCGAGCCTGGAATTCACTGTTGCCAATATGTGGCACTACCAGGACAGCAGCCAATATCCATCTTTTCCCTACCACTCTGGAAAGCATTCCTTTGATTTTAAGAGCCCTGAGGTGTTCCCAAAAGCCTGCTGGCAGAGGTCTGTACCCCCACAGTACAACTGTCAAAGGATTTCTGCCTCAGGAACAAGGGACTGACAGTTTTCCTATCAGAAACACCTATTTGTGAACTTTTTACAGGAGAATCAGCAACTCACATCCAGAAATACCTTCACCAGAGACACAATTATTGGTTTACCTATTAAGAACAAGGTATTTCACATGGTGTACCCTTCTGGAAATCATGTTAACAGTCTTATATTATCCATGGACTTGGGGGCTGTGCCTTCTTGTAAGACTGACAACAAAAATAGTGGTGGTGGCAGCAGGGGGAAGGGTTATTTCAAAACTTGGGAAGAAAGTGGTGGGAGGAATCCTAGAATCTGAAGTATTTAAATGAGGCATTTTCGGTGAAGGGACTGTCAACACAAGGAACACATCATGACTTTTTCCACCACAGAGAGCAGCTCTAAAAATGCTTATTTCTAGAATTAAACCAACAGGGGAAATGCAACTTTTAACCACCAAACACCGAGCTACAGTTTGAGAAACACAAGCTGTTCCTCCAAAGACAGTTTTAATAATCTTACCTTAATAATCAGTTCTTCCATTGTTACTGCCACAGTCTGCAATCCTGAGACATGCACCATATTTTCCATGACCAAGGAACAGGGTCGTAACACCTGAGTGAAAAACACCATTGGATTATTAAGGTGACTCCTGGAATCTAAAACTTTTCAAGAGGTCTTGTATTTTTTTCATTCCATAGGCCCAGGGGATGCTGATCCCACAGTAACAACATGGTTCAGAGCAGCAGCAGTTTTTCATATACTGCCACATATTCCAGCATCCCAATTTGCACAACAGCAGTTTTGTCCTAGAAGGTTAAAAGTTACTGAAATAAAAGTTTTTGATGTAATGCTTAAAAACCAGACAAAACCCAACACACAGACTGATAGTACAATGAAAAAAACAGGGCTTTTCTTACAGTAGTAACATTCTTGTCTTGTTTTTCCTTGAGAAAGGCACAGGCCAACACTTTGAAGCCATTCACTTGAGCAGTCATCCTCTGTGCATCCCTTCCAGATGTCAGAGAAAAGTTACACTGGAAGGAAACTTTTAAGGCAGGAGCATCAGCATTGGTCAAATTAGCAACAAACACAACTTCTGGGTCCAGAATCACAGCTTTTACTGTCATATTTGGCCGTACAGGTGTTTCTGTGAAAGTAAAGTTTAAAAAAACCCTTGAATATAAAAGGTTTGGAAGCATTATCATGTACATAATACTGAAACCATGCATGAAAATTGCTACCCAATTACAGAGGTACTAATTCAACAAATGATGTCTCAGTTTTTACAGGAATACAGTGGTGAAACTGAGCATCTCAGTGTTCAGAACTCAGCAGCAAACTGCTCAGTGCTGTAGAGGACAGGATTAACTGTGTACACACAGTCAGCCTAAGCCCTGGCTCTACAAAGCCAAGCTGGAAATTGTTATTTTGTGGCTCAACATCTAAAGTGACTCACTTCTTTAGAGGGAACACTTCCAAATCAAAACCAAATTATCAATACAGAATTTCTTGTCTGAATATGTTTGGTTTCCAAAGAGAAGGAGAGAACCATATTATATTTCTCTCAGTTAAAAGCAGTGATGGACCAGGTCCCTTTGGGAGGGCACTGCAGTGTGGTGGGAGCCTCCTGCACACCAGGATGATTCCAGGAGTTACTCCTGCCCAACTCCTGCTGGAAATATCAGCATATCAGAGCTATGCCATGGAACAGGAGCCACTTTGAGGCTCAGGGCACTGCAGGAAAAGCAAAGGGAGCTGGACATGGTGGGTTGGAGCCAGGAACACTTTTGGGTAGTCCTGACCGTTCCCTGCAAGGGCTGTTTTCCTGGAGTGAGTGTCAGCCCTCCTCCATCACAGGACTTGGGCACTTCTCCAACAAGGGAAGAGGAGGGCAAGTGAACTGCTGACATCACTAGGGCAGTTCATCAAACCTAAGGGTCACTGCTGGTGCTCTGCCAAGGTCCCCAAAAGGAAGGGAGGGCTGTTGGGAACCAGCCTGACAACACACCCCACAGGTGAGGTCTCACCACAGCTCAGACAAGCCCAGCAGTCACTTCAAACCAACAAAATACTTTTAGGAGTGGTCTTTCTTGCCCTTGTTTCATCATACTTTACCTTCAGTCTTCAATCAGAAAGAGCAAATCAGTCTACTGTGTCAGTGGCCAATTTACACATTTTGAGGAATAAATTCATTTCTCAAGTCTGATACCAAGACAGCCTCTCGAAAACTTTTGGAGGAATTGTTTCCAGTGTGAAGTCTGCAAAGGAGGGGAATGGGGGTGGAGGTGGAAATTGGTTTTACAGACCTGTTTCTGGCTTGGATTTCCCAGAAGCAACTTGCTTTAATTGGAACTGTGCAGATCTTTCAGTTGAGGATGCTGGCATCGAGTTAATGAAAAAATCTGCTACTGTCAACAAAAACTCCATACTGGCACATATGTAGAGCTTGTCAAGGACTGCAACAACTTCAGTTCCATTTTTATCCTGCTTATACCTTATATCTATCATAGAACTGTCATGTGTGTCATCTTTCTTGTCTATCATTCTGGAAAACAAGTTTAATAAGAAACATTTCAAACACGGATCTAGAAAAACAAGGATGCATGAGTGGTGCCACTTTTTCCCCCCACGGTGTTTATAAATAAGAATTACTACACAAGCAATCAGTGTTTCTTCCAGAAATAAGAGGGTATAGACTTTTCTAAGAGAGGAGCAACTTCAATTTCAAATTAGTGCACTACACTTTTGGAATGTGCATGTGGCACACAAGGATCACAGTGGAGTTTCGGTGCACAGAACGTTGGCTAGGTTCTCTCTACTCAGCTGTTCTACGCCATTTACTGTAATATGTGAGACTCTTTGTTTGGATAACATGGGAAATCAACACATAAAAGTAGAAACTTGCTTGACATGATTAAAATGACATCATTCATTGCTCAAGCACACAGTATGAGGGGCCACAATATGACAGCACGGCTGAGTTTTGTCAATCCACGCGAAGCAAAGCACGGAAGAAGGGAACAATCTCCCTCCTGAGCTGGGGGCTTTCCATTGCTGGTGCATTCACACTTACCTCGCAGTCACATTCTGAATTCCTTCTCTGAGATCATCCAAGGTGCAGGCCTTGAGCTGAACTTTGACATCCATGGAGCCATCTGAGAACATGTCCCCAGCCGATGCCATGAGGAGCAGGCGCAGCTCTCCCAGGCGCAATCTGTCACTGTGCTCGGGGAGCTGAGCCCTCTGCACGGGGACACGGGAGGGTGGTGAGCACACAGCACACACAGCACAGCAGGGAGCACACCCCCTGGGGCATTTCAGCCATGCACTGCTGCTGGCATCAGTCCTTCAACCACACAAATTAGTCCCAGAAACTCAGTGGGAAAGCAGAAACAGCACGCTGGGCTGCAGTGAAGTTGTTTGTTCACCACGGTGCTGGCAGTTGTTCAGAATGCACGATTGTAGGATAACCCATCTGAACTCCAAATCCCCTCCCAGAGGACCCCCCCACTCCCATCACACTAACTCATTTGCAACACCTCAGTAAGAAGTGGAAACCATATAAAGGCAAAATTAGAATAAATGCCATCCCAGTGTCTTTCTTCCCTGTGATGCTGATTGCACAGGAGTTGTTTTAAAATTATACACAACTAACATTCACTAGATACAAAGACATACAAAGCAACCACCTTCACACCTGCACAAAGTGTATTAAATTATAAAAATAAGGCCACAGTTTACATCTTTCTCTTCTGTTTTCAGCACAGAAAAGATGCCCAGGATTGCTCACATCTGGGGATGTGCAGGAGGAAAGGATGGGGCATTTACACCTTGGATCTGCTTACTAACCATACAGGCACCATGCACAGAACCAGCACCATCTGAGCCAGCAATTCCTGCTCTTCAGGTGGTCATTTTCATTTTGGATAACTGGAATCAAAGCTTGAATGACCACATCAAATGCTGGGTGGGTTTGGTTGGTTGGTTCAGTCACATGTTTCAGTGTGGTTTTTGGAAATGCACCTGCATTCTTCAACTTAAGGACATGCTCTGTCCAAGAAACCTCAAAGCTCCACAAGGCAAGCATTACAAAGCCAACACAACTGATGAAACTTTGGTTTCCTGTCCTGAGTTGTGCCCATGTGAGGTGCCCACCCCCCCTGTATGGGAACAGCTTGGTCACAAACCTGATTCTTGTCACTGTTGTAGAGAATGACAGAAAGTGACTCAAAATTGAAGTCAAATTTAAGTGTTGTGTAACATTCCACACAAGACTGAGCTGTAGAAACACTCTTTTGTTCAGAAGCAAGAAGAGGACCTGTCAGTGAAAAGAAGATATTTTTACATTTCTTCAGAACACTGGGTTTGGGGTATTTTTGCTGTTGGTTTGGGGGTTCTTTTGTTGGTTGGTTTGGTGTTTGGTTGTTTTTAGGATCACAAAGTCACAAGAGGAAAAGCTCTAAATCCAGAAGACTCCTCAAAGCAATTCACACTTTTAATTTCTCGACATCACTTTGTTCTATTCAGTTCATGCTAAAATGACCTAGCACAGAGTGGTTTAAGAACATTTTAAAAAGCTGCCATTAATTTACTGCAGTTCTGCATTCACTTCAGTGAAGAACTACACAAAGTACCAAGTCTGTTCAAGGGGTTTGCACTGCTCTTCCTCCCTGCTCTTCTCATGGTGTAGCAATTCAACTTTTAGTTAGACAGCAATTATTTGACAGTGAGAATTTAAAGTTTTGGGCAAAACCAGATTTTGGCAAAGTGTTAGCAATATTTTATCCAGAGACATGCACTGTTTACATCGACACACTGTCTGAATACTCGTATTATCCTCACTTGTTATAACTATGCATTAACATTCTGGGGTAGATGATTTGGCATTTTCCTTTTTTAACCACCTGCACCTTAGAAGAGTCATTGCTCTGGACTGAAGAAAACCATCCTATAGAGGCAGAATCACCAAAAACATGCTACAAAAACTTCTGACCATCAAGAGCTCACACTCCATGGATGTGCACACATAACTGTTTATAACTGTTCACGTACACAGTGCATCTGCAAGTGAAAAGAATTCACATGCACACATTTAAGTGCTTCAGATAAATGTGATGTTTGGATTTACAAATAGTCCTCTGCCTGAACATGTTCAGCCTTTTGAATTCAACATACCAGATTCATGGGGAACTTTCCCTTTTTTAGGGATCTGTGTAAACTCCACGTTCTCCTGCACAGCAGTTGGTTGGGAAGAAGCCCCCCCGAGGTTTTCAAGTAAAATTTTCATGATAACAGTCAGATCATCTTCACTGAGTGCAATCTGTAAAGTGATAAACCACAAACTTCAGTTTTGGTGACAGAAATAATTTGCCCATTTTTCCTATAATATGTTGCTTGTTAGGAACAGGAGTTACAAGAAATAACACTCCACATAATAACCTCTTTTCAGTCTTGTAAAGGATCTTTGCCTGCTAAAATTATGAGTAACTGATGAACATATGCACTTCTAACAATTCAGAAATCCCCAAACAGCACCAGATAACATTAAAGCCAAGGCTTGCATTGTCTGCACTAAAGCAACTGTCCTTCAGGAGGCCTTCAAGGAGTTAATGAACATGAATCCAACAATAAAATTACAGAACTGTGAAAAACCCAAGCACTACTAAGTGACAAAATGCAGCCACTTAGGCCATAATACAGTGTTAGAAGTATTTTTTCTACATCTGGTTACTTTTGTCTGTCCTCTTTTGAATCTCTTAAGTCTCTGTGCCTCACCAGTGCTGTGTTTGGCCATAGCACAGGTACAGGAATGGCCCAGGGCTCAGGAACAACCATAAGGTGCCTCAGTTTGGTTTTACCCATTTAAATCCATATGGGTAATGTAGGAAAAGGAAAAGCAAAGCCCTCCCTCTGCAAAGATATCAACCATACCTCTAAATTGTGTATTAGAGATACCCTTTTCATTTCTATCAATCTAATAAACACTCAGATAACCTGAATGTTACAGGTGAAACGTGAAGACTTAAATCTGGTTTTTAAAAGCCAACTCAATAGGTAACCTCACTGATTTTACTGACTACTGAGTCAAAGGACAGCTCCAACAGGAAAATAAAACTGGGCTTTACTCCACTTGCACACAGCTACACCACAGCTGTTCATGATACAATATCAAAGCTCTAACACATCTGTAAACTGGACAATCAAGCTGCAAGTCTTTTGACATTCCTAAAGGACACCAACTGAAAAGAGTTTATAAGATCTTTAACTAAGTTGGGTGGTATTCTGAGCAGAAGTGACTTTTGGTGTGGCTCTGCTGTGGCCTGGCATTACCTGCATTGGTTTCAGGTCTCCTTTGATACCAATTGTTGGGCATTTATGATACCACGCTGCTGCTAAATTTCTCTGCACCAGTAAAGTCAAACTCACAGGACACAGAATTTCAGAGTCTGGTTGAGAATCTGTGGATATGATGCACCTGACAAAAGACAGTGAAATCCACAGAGGAAGAATATTCAGCAGTTGCAGAATCCCAAATATCATAGTAATCTAGCAGAATATGGGCATAATTATTAATTTTAAAATAAGTATGTGTGCCCACATGTGCTTACACCCAGGGATGCACTTTAGATGAACTCAGTTACTGTCCTAACATTCCCTTCTCTCCAAGAAGTTTCAGAGATTGTGTCCCTCTACAAACACTCCTAAACTTGGCTTGGGGAGGTTTTTTGGTTGGTTATAGTATGGTTCCATTGCTTATCATCTTTAAATAACAGAAAAATGCTGCATATGGAACATGAACACGTTTTCTTTACAAACACCTTTCAACTCCCAGCAAAGCTCCACATATACCTTGATAACTTCAAATGAGTCAGCTGCACATCCATGCTGTCAATGACTGGAGGAAGAGGAGATTCATCTGAAGGCACCAGCTTGAATTCATTCTGCACTCTGATTAAGCCAAGGTCAGCCACCAAAGCGTTGTATGAAGCTGGAGATTCAGGAATTACGATAACTGGAGCTTTCAGGTTGACATCCATGGAGAGGCGGAAGCTCTTCCTGGCAAAGTCCTTCATGCTGGAAGCTGCCATTTCTGCTGCCTGGGCAGTGACTGCAGTCAGGGCTTCCTGGGCTGTCTGGAAGTTGTTCAGGAAGTTCTGTGCAGAGGGAGTGGAAAAAAGTGAGACTTCCATGAAAACAAGCCTCTCAAAAAAAGGCAAAATATAAAATCAAGACAAAATGTACAGCTGTGGTGTAAATAAGAAACTCCTCATTTAACCACGCAGGTTTCAAAAGACAAAAAGGCTCAAATCACATGCACAAGCTAAGACACTGCTTGATTATTTATTTTTTCAGATACTATTAAAGCTATCAACTCCATTCATTATTTGTTTTGTCATGCTTTTCCTTACTTGTCACTCTTCTAAAAAGCACTTCTAAAAACCACTTCTGCAGCAAAATACTTCCCTGTGCCTGTACACCAGCTCACCACAAGGGAGAGGTGATTACACTTCATTTTATTAAAAAACTCTAAAGTCAAGAAAAGAACTTGAACTGCTGTCTTACCAAGAGAGACATAAAGAACTTGTGGAGGTAAATTATTTGGATGCAGCCCACTTTGAGAGACATCTTGCCATCCACCCTCGACATGTCAGTGTAGGCTTCCCCTGCAGTGGCGTCGGGGTAAAGGGACACGTGAAATCTGAACACTTCATCTCCCATTATGGACACAGCCTGCAAGAGAAGGTCCATGCAGTTAACACTGCCAGGAGTCATCTGAAACAAGAAATATTTCCTCAAGAAGAGCAACTGCAAGCTCTCAGCAGTACCTGGACACAGACAGTGCCAGAATCACCCCTTTTATTGAATGTCCCTTCTCACTTGTTTATCCACAGCCCAATTTATGTTTAACCCATGCTACTCAGAATTCAACACAGCACTGCAAATGTGGTTAAAAGGAGCTAAATATTAAATGGAAGAATATTTTGCTTCCCTGAGATAAAGGATATTGCTTAGTGTTTGGTGCATTACACCGTACTTAGGATTCCACAACACGGCAAATAAACTCCAGTGCTGTCACTATAAATCACTGAAACAACTGGGTCTTTGTTTGTTTACAATCTGCACAATACATCACCTTTTTATGGACTGTTTTGGGATCAACATTTGTAATTACAATGTCCTCAAGCCTGGAGAACACTTTAATCTTTTTAGGCTTCATAGCTACAGATGCATCCATTCCTGATTGGAGACAAAAGAAAGAAAACAATAAATGCGCTTCAACAAATATCTAAATAAACACTTCTGCTAAAAAAACCTCCATTAATTATTACTAAGTATAAAGAATAAAAATAGCTCAGAATCCAGCCCTCTACTGTGTAACAACCAGTGCTAAGCCTGGGACAGAAGTCAGGACATTAGTACACATGACAGATTTGCCAACATAAACTCCTGGAGTAAAAACTCCCAACACTATTTAGGATTTTGCTATTTAAAAAATGCAAGTTTGTGTTATTTATTACATAGTGCCTTGATTTCTTTTAATTTTACTTCACTATTTTAAAAATCACCTTCTTTTTCCGAGTCAAACATTCTCTTTCCTTGCAGGTTATTTCACACAACCAAACTATACCCAAACACACGTTGCAAAGACACGTGCAGTGCACACAGGCCTTTCAGAAGTGAATGGAGGGAAACTACATATTTCATCTAATATTTAAATAAACTTCACGTACTATTTAAATAAAAAAACCCCTTACCTTGTATTCTGATGTCTGCAATCCTACAGGTCTGATCACACACCGTGATGCTGAATGCATTGAGCTTTGCAGTGAGTTTTAATTCACAGATATCATCGTGGGCTGCATCACCAGGCACTGGATAGGACACACAGGAGACATACAAGAACTTCATTATAAGCCCATTGTTTAAAACACAGATTATTTGTTTGCACACATATGAACTATTCAAAAAGCAACCTGCTAACAGTCTAGATAATCGTTAGTCAGGATATGAAGTCTTTTATTAACACAGTTTTCTTCTGGTACATGAACAGCCACCAACACAGGCAAAAAGCCATCCAGGTGCCATCCTTTCTCCTCACTGATAGCCAGTGTTCACAGCAGGGTGCTGAACACAGTGTACCCTGCAGTATTTGCAGCACCACCTCCCATGAGAGCGTTCCTTTCTGGAGCCAGGAGCAAGGCCAGTTGAGGCAAATGGGCTGAGAAAGGTTTCTGCAGAAACACAAATTGTAGCAGCCAACCACTGTAAACTCAGTCCCAACAGCCTGAGGATTAAAAACCTTGAATTCCACAAACAACACCACAAACACGAGAATGAACCACACAGGACCTGACAAAACATTAAGGAGCTCCCATGCAAACACTCCTACTACTCCAAGGTTACAAAACACCAGGGATCAAAATAAACACACCACCCTTCAGTTCAGAACTTCCCTTTGCTTCCCCAGAAGGTTTATTTTCAGCAATGAAAGCACCCTTTGGAGCCTTCAGATTGGAAAGCTACCTGCTTGTGACACTGAATCTTTGGCAAGGCTGCTCATGGCAACATCCTTCATTCAAATTTAATTGCAAAAATCAGACCACCATCTAGGGACAAGTTAACTCTGAGTAAGGAGAATTTGTAAAATTAAGCAACAGCAAAAATATCTGGCTTTGTTTTTTTTTAATGAGATTATTTTCTCCCCACTTCTGCTTGTTCATGCTTCGTTCTTCCACCACACAGCCTGCAGTGCTGCCACCTGAAATGCACCCTTTGAGAGTGAAGGTGAGATGGTGCCATCAACACATGCACAGCCTTTCTAGTACCACATTACCTGGTCTAAGAGCACTTCCTTTGTCCTCTTCTTTTGTTTGAGGCTTGTGGTCTGATGATTTATCAGCACTGGGAAGACCACCTGATGGAACACTGAAGGTGAGAAAACTCAAGATGGAAAGCAAAGCCTCTGTGTGAAGGACTATATCCAAAGATGAAAAGATGACCTGAAATGAGGGCAAGGAGACAAAGCAATAGTTTTTAGTTGCAGTTTATTGCATAACAACTCAGTTACTGCCACAGGATCGAGAAAAAAAAGTGTCTTGCTCAAGTTTTTGACCTTTCCATCTCCTCCAATTTACCACCAAAAATGCCCCAGAACAGCTGAGGGAGCTGTGGAAGGGAAGTTTAAAAATGGCTACAGAGGAACTGAGCCAGTCCAAAAGCTGATGCTTCCTGTGGTTCTGGTTTTCCCGCAGTTCTCAGTTCTGCTGCATTTCTGTGTGGGCTGCTGAGCACTTTGGTTGACAACTTCAGAACCACGTTTTAGTGGATATGATACAGCAACAAAACCAAACCAAAACCCCCAAAACTAAACAAAACCAACCAAACAAAAAAACCACAGACACAAAAAACCAAACCAAAACCACAACCAAAATCCACCCCCTTCAAGATTCAGAATTTGCAATCAGAACAGAAAGCACATGAGCAGCAGCTACTCTTGCCAGTAGTGCTTAGTACAACCTGCTATCAGGCAGCCAACTCTCCCCAGTCCAAAGCAGCCCCTGGTAAATGCTGCTTTTACAGTTTCTTGTTTAAAAAAATAAATACACTAAATACTTCTGTAAAAAAATTTTTTTTCCACCTGGATTTCCCTCTGAAGCAGTTAAATATAAATCAGTATTTATATTTGTTACCATTTGAGAAGCTTAAAAAAAAAAACTAAAGCCATCCAGTGCTTACATTGATGTTCTGTTTGGTGCTTTTGTAAGTTGTAACAAAGTCTGGCCCATCAGGATCAGCCTAAAGGGAAAGGAAAAAAAAAAGGACACAGTCAGTCTCTGCTGAGTTAACCAATAATTAATAACAGATGAAATAAAAGAAGGAAATTAAATGCTAAGTTGGAAAATAGGTATTTGGGAGAAAGTCTGGTTAAGTTTTAGATACAAATCCTACAAGGTAAGTATGGAAGCCTTATTTTACTGCCCATGTATTTTAGTGAAAATGTACAGAAACCTTAATGTATTCCATTTTCAGAAGGTGCTCATCTGTCTCACTTGAAGAATTAATAATGCAAAGAGGATCTCCTTTTGAGTCTGCAAACAAAGAAATAAAGATGTAAAATATCTCCACTCACAAGCTTTACTCCACCTATGAAATATCTCTATGCTAATTCTCAATTATATCCTAATTATATCACTATTCTTGCTGAAAGAGTTAAACAGTTGTTTTCACTGGGAAGCTGCATTACCTTGTGAAATATATTTTTATTTTAAATTAAACTACTAATAATTAACTTCTCTTGGTCTCACAAAAAAGATTCAAAATTGGAAAGTTCTTTGCATTCCTGTAATTAGTTTTGCATTCCTATCTTCAGGTTTTTACATTCAAAACCTTACTTTTCTACTTGGAATACCTGGCTATTTCAGTTCTTACCTCACCATCAGTTTTAGTTGTTACCTGACCAGTCCAAGTCACTGTGCATTTCCAGAGCTGCCAGAACGGGTCACACAGCACAGACCCAGCAGCTGAACCCCCCTGAACGGTCAGAACTCTTGTCAGCACTGACCACTGCTCCTCAGAGTAGGCAACTCCCTCACAAACATGAACTCCAACTGACTCTGACAGCTGCAGCAAAACTTGGTGTCAGGTAAAACACGTTAATTGCCTCTAAATGACACTGAACAGCCCCATTAATTCAATTTAGAGTGTAACTTCCTGCCCCTTCTGCCCCCCTCTAGTTATTGGTTTGGAGGATGTTATCCTCTTGCTACAAGAGCTGATTGCACACACCCTGCTGACTGTGCACCACTTTTCTGGAAGACTTACCCTTTATCTCAGTGCATCTCATGGCAATTTTTTTCAGATATGCTGCTGCAGTCAATTCATGGTTTCTGACTTTGGTTTCAGTTCCAAGCTGTAGCACAGTCAGGATATGTAACGGGTATCTGTCCTTCTGAACCTGCTTCATCAAGGTCACTACAACCTGGAACATGGCAAGGGCAGTTCAGGGTTTCAGTGAGCCTGTCCACACACAGCAGGCAGTGACAAGCAGGCATTGTCTCCTCAGCTAAACCTCAGCAGTAACATTCATCTTGACATCTTGCATTTTTACAAAGACCCTACAAGACCAGTTTGCTAAAGATTTCCCCTGGCCCCACCCCTGTTCCTCTTGTTTTCATTTGTTGTTAAGTTTAATTGTTAAAATGGACTTTACAGCCCACTACTTCTAAGAGCCAGACTTGTGTACTGGGCTGAGGAACAATAATTTGTGCAGATGGACACATACCTCTTTGATTTCAAAATTAAGCAGCACATTGATTACATCTTCATTCAATGGCTCTTTCCTCTTTTCAGACAGCATTCCTTCTGGACCACTCTTAGCCTGTACCAAAACTGATCTCTCCATTTCTTTGGATTTACCTGAAACATTCAATAAACTGGTTAACTTTGGAAATTGCCACCATTTGTTTAGCTCAAGAAACACATCCAGCTCTTTTATCCATTCAGATGGCTCACATTCACCTAAGATAAACTGGCAACATGTCCCCAAGTAGAGCATGAAAAGGAAATAAAAATGTGTTCTGGCAACAAGACAACTCTGACACCTCAGTACCTCGCTAGTTCCTTGACAACTGAGCCAACACAACCACATTTTGTCTGTATTGTTTCCAGTTTTTTCAAGTCTCAAAGTATGAGCACTGTCCTTGCAGAATTAAGGAGTTTCTCACTTGCACACCTCTGAGATCTAAACTTGTTTTCCAGATAACAAATGCCTTTCCTTACTCTGAAAGCTAACACACTTAGTATTCATGACAAATTGCAGCTCTGACCTTCCTTTTGCAGGACTGATTTGGCATCAGTTTGTTCTTCTTCTGCTTCACCAAGGTTTTCTGTCAACACTCTGAGAAAGACATTCAAATCCTCTTGACTTAACACGACCTGAAAAGTAGCAGATCACTGTTCTCAGGAAAAAGACATTGTTCCTTAAACTTCTCACCTGCTAAAAAGCAGAACAACGTTTCCTGACAAGAAGAGTGCTTTTTTTACAAGTATTTTGTCAGCAGAATCATCCTTGAATAACACAATTAAATTCTTTCTACCATTTATTGTTACAGTATTAGGAGATTAAAGGTTATGACTTCCAAAGCTGTATCCATGTACATTGCAGCCTTTAACACATCTAGGTTTTTAATATTTTCCTGTTAATGATATGCTACTTAATATCTTAATTCCAGTTTCACCCAAGATGTACCAGTTATTGTCTTTCACAGTACATAAAATGCCACAGGAAACAACCATCTTGAGTCTTTCAGGAGTGATGGGAAGGTATGAAGCTGCAGATACTAAGGCAAATATTTGCATTACATTAAATTTAGTTGGTCCTGTCTCACTGCAAGGAATTAACTCTTTGACATCCTTTTCTTATTTCTCTTTTCAGTCCTCTTTCCTTTTCTCTCAGGTTATTAAATGCACACAGCAGTTTGGCTGTTCTATTTGATGCTTTCAGGCCTCTACATTTATACAGCTGGGGTCAAATCCTGTTATATCACTGAAATCACTCCACAACTACTAAAAATTTGGAACTTATTGCCCCTTTGAGTCCAGAAATAACACAAGGGTTAGTCCCACATTAAGCATTTCACCACCTCTTCACAAGACTCACGTTCATTGTGTCCAGGTAGCCCGTGACCTGCAGCACAGGCAGTTTGTGAAACCAAGCTGCAGACAGATTTCTCTTCACTGACAGGCTTAAATTGATAGGGTGAAGAATCTGAATATCTGCATGTGACGAATCTGCCTCCACAGTGGTCCTTGAAACGCAGGGGGCAAAAGAAAACAACACACACAGTTTGGAAGTTAGAAGTTCAACCATATGTTAAATTTACAAAATAAAACCTTAGTCTCAGATGTGATACCTCTTAAGGCTTAAAGAGTTTCCTGAGCAGAGCAGTTTCTTATTTTGCTACTGAATTGCCCTTAAAGTAAGAGCATTCGAACACCAATTATTTAACACTAGCATCAACCACAGTTTCTAAGCAAGTAAATTAATGTCCTATAGAGTATTAATATTAGCAATTAGTGAAGGCATTATTTAGTGAAGTGACTGTACCTGGACATCTTCAGCTTTGTCAGCTGCACATCCATTTTGTCAATGACTGGAGGCAGGGAGCTGCCCTCTGCAGACACCAAGCTGAACTGGTTCTGCACCCTGATCAAGCCCAGGTCTATCACTATGGCCCTGGGGGACACTGAGGACTGGGGGATGATGATAACTGGTGCTTTCAGGTGAATGTCCATGGCCAGGCGAAAGCTCCTCTGAGCCAGGTCCTTCACACTGGTGGCAGCCTTTTCTGCAGCCTGGGCTGTGGCAGCACTCAGAGCCTCCTTGGCTGTCTGGAAGTTGTTCAAGAAGGTCTAGAAAAAGCAGTTGAAGTAGAAGTGTCTGTAAACAGTTTCTTCATCTAGGTTACTTTGTTGTTTTACCACATCAACCATGACCAGCATCAGCCACCAGCTGTGCTGCCTACTGTGTGGAACATCCCTTGGGCAAAGACAACTTGGTGCCTTCTGTCATGACCTCTAACTAAGAGTCAAAAATGTACTAACCAGTACAACTCACTTACTTTAAACTCATCTTTACTTTTTCTTCCTTCCTTAGCTACAGGATTTCTTGGCTCATTAGCTTTTAGGGACACTTAATTTTTAAAGGCCCTCTTGCCCTCATTGAATCCTAATTCCTGGTAAAGTCAGTACTGAAGGAGGGAAAGCTCACTGGTGCTTTACTGAAAAAGCCAACATTAGGGTTCTTCAGTGTACAAACATTTAAACTGGTGATTTTGCAGGTGTCATCACATCTAACCCTGCAGAAAGATTTGCCTCTGATGTTACCTCAGACAGCTTTGCAATGAACTCAGGATTTTGTCAGGGTGGTGAGGGCAGCAAACACAAAACCCCAAAGCATCTTAACTTACCAAGCTTTCCTCTATTTGCAAAGCTGAGGGTGGGAGGGACCCACTTGCACTGATTGGTTTTTCTCAAACTGAAACCAGTGAAAGCTTCCTGAGCAAAGATTCTGAATGGTTCACATGAAAAATTAGGCCCATCCCTTCTCTTTCAGAAACTGAAGCTGCCACTTGTACCGAGGGCACAAACATTGAGGACCAGTGTGAGAACTGCAGAAACACAGGAAAATGAGGCTTACCACAAGAGCCATGAGGAACTTGTGAAGGAACACTATCTGAATGCAGCCCACCCTCAGAGATACAGAACCATCCACTTTGGACATGTCAGTGTAGGCTTCTCCCTCAGTAGCTTGTGGATTTAACGTCAGATTGAAACTGAAAACTTCATCTCCTACTATAGACACGGCCTAGAAAGAGAGAAACAGCACCTACCAGCCATCAGCAGCTTCTAAACAGGCACTTAACACACAGAAGTAAACACATCATCAGCCTATCAGATGTACAAGTTAGATTACTACATCTTGAAATCCTTTTACACATCTATTCTTGTAATATGAATATTATTCTTTATATGTATCTTATTTGAAAAGACTTATTAATAACAAATCAAATACTTTAGAAAGAGTGGAATATGTAATACATTTCACTTTTATACACATAAAACTAACCAAGAATCAAGTAAAACTTAAAATCTTGTAGTTGAGTACTTTTTTATGAAGGGTCCTTGAATCAACATCTGTGACAACTATGTCTTTAAGTCTGGCAAAGAATACAGTGTGACTTGGCTGAAGGCAAAGGGATGAGTCAAGACCTGTAAGGCATAAAAATAGAAACAGTAGTGTTGCATAGCAAAAGTAACACTTCTTTTCAGGGTGGGGACACGTGACAGCAGCAGGGGGAGTGAGAGAAGCTACTGAGCTCTGAAAATGTGACCATCCTACGGCTTTGACCAAACCAAAACAGAGACATTTCTAACACAGATACTGTCTCAACATCAGCCATCTCTGCAATCTACTCGTAGAAATACATTCACACATTAATCCACTTCTTAGTAACCAAGCTACTGAGTGATTTTATTGATATTTTCTATCAGAATAAAAGTAACTATATTGTATTTGAATCTTGTGTGAGTATTTAATATGGTTTAGAGATGGGCACAAGCAAAAGACTTTATGAACTGCACTCCATAACCTTGTATATCACACATTCTTAAATATCCATGACAAGAGAGCGTTTGGGCAGCTGTTAGGGTGGCAGTTACAGCCAAACTTGGAAGTGAAACTCCCCCTCCCCACTCCTGTCCCCCACAAAGAATTATTGATAATCCTTCTAAGGGGTAAAAAGAATCAAGAAAACAAAACCAAAACATGAAACCCAAACAAATCCCAGGGGTTAAAACCCAAAGGAACCAATTTTAAGGGTTTTTTTTAACCTAAATAATTCAGGTATAGCAGAAAAATATCCAAAGCTTAGTACAGTGTGAAAAGTCATCCATAATCAAAGTCCTTCAAAGTACAAACCTAATTATCTGACTAATAATGTATTATATTTTTCTAGCTGGAGGCCAAAAGGTTATGATGGACAAGACTACAAATCATGTTTGTAAAGATAACAATAAAAGAAAAAGGTAGATGCTGCCAATTTACACCTTAATTATCTTTAAGTCAAATTATTAATAATTGCTTTGAAACTAAACTACCAAAACAGTTGCTACTAACAAGAAAATTTCATACCTTGTATCTTGATCTCCGCAATGTTCTTTTTCTCATCACAAATATTTAAACAGAAGGCATCCAGCTTGGCAAAGACCTTGCAGTCAAACACATCCTTATCCTTGGAAGGTCTAGCCACTAGAAAATGAGAAACAGTGGGATTTTCAAGGTAAGTCTAAATCATATTTTCACCTGAACTCCTGGGAGTATTCAAGGGCTGTTTTGGTTTAGGGGCTTTTTGGCATTCACATGATTTAGTTTGGTTTCTTTCAGAATCTTGACTATCTGCAATATCCCATCTTGGAGTAACAAATCTCCCTCTTGGGGCATCTCTCCTGATAAAACACATCAGCATTTGCCCAGATCAATAGCACAGCATAATCATCCAAGTACTATTTATCTCCTTTATTTTACCAGGGACACTAAGATTATGCTATTGTTCGAATCCTGTAAGCTCACAGCAATCTCATTTACTCCCATTCAAGTCTATTTGTGAAAAGGCTTTGAAACACAGGAATAAAAATCTCCTAAAAACTCTTTCAGTTATTGGTTTTCTGAAAGCAGCCCTGCAGCCTGGTGAGCTTTCACCTTCATCTCACACTACAAAGCCAATCATGTTTCTCTGGATTTGCCTGTTTTGCCAGCACCCAACACTTTCCCAACCATCATTTGGACAATCCCACTGTACCTTTTTTCAGTCTAGTGTCATCCTCTTGCTTTTCTCTCACTGGTGAGTCTCCCCTGCTCTCGCTGCCAGATGGGCTGACAGCTGTCAGAAAGCTGAGAGCAGACAGCAGGGCCTCTGTGTGCAACAGGAGGTTCAGTGATGAAAAAGTTACCTGGTGAAAACACGAGACTCCAGATGACAAAACAATAATTTACAAGTGTAAGAGTTGGGCAGAGGTGGAGCAAAAGCTTTCAAGCACATTTGAACTCTAAATCTCCTGCTGCAAGGCTGGGAGGGGCAGGAAAACAGGAAAGCCAAAAAACTTATTCATTCCATTCTAAACAAGCAAACTGAAAGAAAATAAGCAATAAAATCTGCAAACACTCACTTGAATCATCTGTTCAGTGTTGTCAAAAGCTGTCTGAAACTGCGGCCCATTTCTGTCAGCCTGAAAATAAGGATTTGCATGAAGGTAAATATTAATTCCAACCAGGTGCTGGTTGGTACCTTCTTCAGAAGGTACAAACCAATCCAACTAGCTCTGAATAGCAGGTTTAAGATATAACATCCTAAGCATTAAGAATATGTAGAAGTGCTTTAAAAATAATTTTAAAAAGCTTTATGTATACCTTGATATATTCCACCTTCAGAAGGTCTAAGCCAGGTTTATCTGAGGAACTAATGAGGTGAATGGGTGTTTTTTTACCTGGAACACACCACAGGAAATAAACAACAATTAGGGTCATTTCTGCTCTTTCAGAGCCTTGGAGGTAACGATTAACCCTCAATGCTGTTTGTTAAAATACACTGCACCACCAAATATGAATCACTGGCTTCTCTTTGTTAAGTGCAAACTGGTCAATCTGTCCCCCTTCTGCAGCCAAAGACTGAGCTCTAAGCTATTTATTTCTCCAGTAAGCATTTGGTGAGAGTCCAGAGCTCCCCAGCTGTACCATGAGACAAGCACTGTCGATGGACAGCTGAATATTGAATACTGGAACCCAAAAGTGGACCAACATTTGCATTTCAGTGAGCACAACAGCCTCACATAACTGATATATATAAACACACACACACTTCCCTCCCTTCTTACCTCCAATTTCATAGTAATCCAGGCTTATTTTCTTTAAGTAAGATACAGCTGCTAAGTTATAGGTTCTGACAGTAGCCTCTGTCCCCAGATGCATTACATCAAACACAAGCACTGTTTCCTCAGTTTGCTTTTGCTTGGTGAGTTCTACTAAAACCTGGATGAGCAGGAAATACAGTTATTCCAACTTCTCACATGTAACATTCTCCCCATTTAAACCATCAATGAAAAGTGCAAAACTAATGCTTTCCCTGCGTTGTTGTTATTTTTATTACAGACTTTAGAGTATAAAAACAGAAAGAAAAGTGATTGTTTAATGGTGACAGATATAAACACAGAAGATATTTTGGGATTTGTTCTTTCCAAGTGACCTTCTTCAGTCTGACTTTTGGTCTTCCAGTGCAGATTTCCCACCCCCCACCCCCTAATTATGACATGGTACTATTTTTCTACCAAAAATACTCCAGCTCTTCTCTTTTTTTTAATATATAATTCATCTGTGTGTATGTATTATGTTTTATTTATATGCACCACATATACATATAAGAAGTAGCTCATACACATACCACACATAAATTGCTTACACACAGAAATATTATGTCTATAGTTCATACATATTATGTATATTTTCTGTTTGGTGGTTATGTGTTTGCATCCACTAATCATGACAACACTGGTAAATGAATACTGGATTTTTGAAAAAAACATTCTTTATGCAGAAGGTGAAAATAGAATTCCAGACATACCTCTTTAATTTCAAACTTCAGCTGAAGGTCTGTCAGCTCCTCTTGAGCAGGCTCCTCACTTCTCGTTTCTTCTCCTTTAATTAGTGACCTGTCAGTTGGCTCAGAGCTTTCCTCAAAATCAAAATACTCTTCTTCAGAATCTACAGAAGTGAAATGACTCCCTCAGTAAACTTGTTCCAGAAACAGGGGTAAATATGCCAGCCTGTCTCTCCCATTCCCACAGGAATTCTAACTGCATGTTCAGAGCTAACTGACAAAGGACAGGGTAGATCTGTCCTGCTCTACCACGGGTGAGGGGTGAACAAAATCAAAGCCCTGTTAAAAACAGCCCTGGGGTCCAGATGCATCATCAGACATGCAGGAACACGCATAAGGAAAATCAATTACAAAGGAAGCTCCAGGGAAAAAACATCCCAGGTTCCACTACAGGCAAGTTCTTCCCTAGAACAGGCATGGAAATGAATGCTCAAATCCACTGTGTCAATACAGTAATCCCTCATGTGTTATTCTGGTTGTGCCTTTTCAGAAAAAGGAGAGTTTTGCTAATGCAACACAGTCAGAAGAACCAGATACAGCTGGAATTCACAGTTCACTTTCATTTGAAGAGGTTGCTTAGGCATAACATTAATTATTACAAATGAGGTGGCTTTGTTTTCTAGAAAAAGCGAGTTCATTATTCTGAGGTGACATCAGCATCTTAAATCTTCTTCTGCACTTGAAGTTAGGCATGACCAGTAACACTCACCTCTGCTGTTCTATGTTTTAACATCGATCACATGAAAATATGAGCTATTCCACCTGCACAAAGGCACATCTGGAGCTCCTTACCTGACACCATCTCTGCCAACAACTGGGGTGTCCCAAGTAACCCTTTACTGACAACAGGAATTGTGGGAATAGCTGGTACCTGGAAGGAGGCAAAAGAGAAAAATCCAACACACGATTTTCACGTTTGTGTAAGTTGGTATGTCCATGTTTTCCACTGATGGTGCATGTCCCACCTTGGCTCCCCCATCCTCTTCGGAAAGGTCAGTTTTGCCAATCCTTGAAACCAGCAGGAAATGACAAAGGCTGCACCAGCCTGGTTTGAGTGAGCCCAGCATGTTCTGGTTGTCAGTCACAGTGAAGTCACTTTGCTTAGCAATGTCTCTTTATTTTATTTTATTTTTTCCAGTTTTCCTTGCTGTAGTCAGCTTACCTTTGTGCTTGGAGCTGACACAGATGACTTCTGAGGCAAGGGAATGCTGTCAATCAGATCAAAAATTGCCTTGATCTTCTGGTCTGACAGTCTGACATGGACCAAAGGAAGGCCTCCTGACACTTTAAACCTTTTTTAAAAAAACAAAGTGATCAAACTCCAGGACAAAAATGCACATACCAACTCTTGAATTAAATCTTACCAGTATGGATACTCAGATAAAAGGTCACATCACAGTGAAACCAGTGATTCTGCATTAAAGCAGGTCTTGAACTAAGTTTAAGCAGTAATTAGTAACCAGCAAAGCATCCAGGGAGCTGACTGGCCAAAACAGGGTTTGTAAACAGCACTAAGCTATTCCAATTTCTTAGTTTACACCTTCAAATTATAAAGTGTCACTGAGCCTTTAGGGAAACCACAGTTTTCTGTAAGTAAACAGTAATTAAAACCAAGTCTTCTCAACATTAATATATTACTTGGGCATCCTGGTGTCTCTTTCCACCATTGACTTTGCCAACTGCACGTGAATATCCATGGGCTGCAAAATGTGCAACGTTGATGGACGTTGAAAACGAGCCTTCTTCCAGTCTTCACCTGCAAATGGTCAGTAAATTGACATGAGAAACCATCACCTGATAATTGCTTTGATTAGGGTATCATTAATTTAATCAAATGGCACCACTAGGATGGTAAAAAACGCCCACTCACCAACCAGAGAAATCTAAAACCATTTAGGTCAAGTATTTTAAGAGCTCTCAGTCTACTCTGTTAACACTAATGCCTTAGCAGCATTAAGCCAGATTCCACACTGAAAGATGAATGTAAATATTGAACCACAAAAAAAGATGGATAGACAGATAAATTGATAGACAAAACACAAAACAGAAACCTAGCATTTTGCTGATTACACAAACTCAAGTTCAAGTGAAGTATTAAGGCAAATTTGAGCTGCACATGATGGAAAACATCATAGTTGTGAGCATTTACATTCACTGACAGCATCAAAGTCAGGAGGTGATGCACAACTCCAAACAAAAAAGAGCAGCTGTTTGAAAAGAACCAATTTTTCACACGTTTTATAACCTATCCTTTCATTACCTACTTGTTTTGATTTGCCTTTTTTCTCTAAAAACATATTTATTACAGGTTGGAAGCCTCCAACAGTCTTCTGAATAAACAACAACTACGTTGTTTTGTTACCTGTTCTTCCAAAAAGAAGCTGCACGTTTTTTATTTCCACATCAAACTTGTCATAAGCTTTGTCCATAATCTCCTCCAGAGATGAAAAGGTGGAAGTTTGACTGCTGCCTTGATTTATGCTGTTCAGCTGAACACAAAGAACAAGATAAAATTAAAGATGAACCTCACAGACATGTGCTGTTCATTCTAGTTAAGATGAAAAATATGATTCATAGCTGATGATTGACACTTGGACTCTTACAGAGAAAATATCTTCAATCATTTCACACTTCACTTATTTTTGATAAGTAGATATTTTTTTGTTACTTCTATCAGTCCACTTAATTAAACTTATGTAAAAGAAATTTTAAATTTTTTTCTTTTACAATTTTACTGGTGGAATAAAAATAAAATAAATACTTAAATCAGTAAGCTAAATCCAGTTAAATTATTGCAATCTTTCCATTCTATAGAAACAAGGGAATCAACTTCCAAACTCCAAGAGAAAAATAAATTCTCTTTTATTAATAAAAGGCTACCATTTTACAAAAAAAGGAAACAGAAGTTCATGTGTTTTGCTGAAGAAATGAGAGATATGATGAGCATGGTTACAACATGAACATGCTTCCTGAGGAGGTTTAACCAGTACAAGTCAAAGATAACAACTCTGAACACTGATCAAATTGCTGACTCAAATGTATTTGGTAAGAAATATATCAAGTTAAAAACACATTCACACAGATTATCATCTTTGCCTTCTGAAAGCAAGACAGTTTCAGATGACAGTTATGTTAAAAGAAATATTTGCTTCCTCTGAGCTTAAAGAGAGGTCATTTCCATACCTGAAATGTACCGAAGTCCAAAATGAGCAAAGCTGAATTTTCCTGGTAGAAACCCGTCTGGGGAACCACGAGGTAGGAAGGTTTCAGGTTAATCTTCAAGTCCAGGACTTTCCGCATTTCAATGATATGAACTAACCCTGACATAGAAAGGGAAAAGACATTGGAATTCAAGTGCTGTTCCTAGATCAAACAATTGTGCCAGTCAACATAGCAAAAGATGTTAGTTATCTGAAAGACAAAGCATCTGGAGTCCAGACTGCCCTCTCTAGCATCTACTGATTTCTCACCAAACTCAGTGCTCCTTCCCACAGAACATCCACTCATTCTCCAAGAAACCAAGTCAAGGAAAAATCCCAGTCATACCATTTGGCCAGTGATCAAACCATAACCAAAGTCTTTAGGCAATCACATTGCAACTTGTTAACACCTTCCAAGGTTCACCTTAGGTGAGATTTGTTATCATGTTATTATCTTACCTGTAGCAGTTCTCTCCTTGATTTCTTCCAGCTTCATTAAGGTGGCTGTTGTTAACCTTTCAAGGTCCATTCCCTTACTTGTCTGGAAGAATTCTACCATTGCATTTATTGTTCTCTTTAGATAAAAACAAAAAAAAAAGACAAGAATTAGCAATATACATAGAGGTCACTCAAGTAAAAGCTCAAAAATAGAGCAAAGAGAGCAATGGCAGAGAAAGAGGAGTCAGAAATAATTGGTCATTCTTTGGTTACTACTCACTGCATCGTATTTGATTTCCACAGGCTGGGACTCGATGGATAGGCTCTGGTCAGCTGTGCTGTCCTCTGGGTTAGTGTTAAACTCGATCTTCAGCAGGGAAGATTTGCTGTCCCCAATGGAGGCCACAAGAGATGGAACAATGTGCTCCTGTCTCAGCCCTGTGACATACCAGTTTTCAAGCTTGGCTTCAACCCTAAAGAGGATGAAGAGTAAAAAATACTTAACTGGAATACTAAATACATCTAGGAAAGCCCAGCAAGATGAGAAAGCCTTTAAGAAAGCCCAGCACGACTAACTTCACAGGACTAACATGTGACAGGTTTACAAAAGTACATTATTAAATTGGAAAAATAAGCAGAAGGCAAGGTGTTCACAGCAACACAGGGGTGATACTTAATCTTCATCACCTTTTGTTACCTGCAAAGTGGACTAAATAGAACTTCCAGGTTTGACACAAGAAGAAGTTTGCTACTGTTCATGGTAACTAACAAATAGTCTTCCCTTCTTCATTCTATTGCATGTTATTCAGCAAATATGGATTTACAGCAGAGTGAAATTACAGAATGCCCAGAAAATTAAAAATTAATATACACACTATAATGTAATTATACAATTATATATAAAAATTTAAGCAGATGGGAAGGGGGATGGGGGCAGAGATGTTTCTACAAAAATAAAATACCAATCCAATTACTTGATGGCTTGTGCTCCTGGGCGCTGGGATATTTTGGTACTCAGATCAATTATCTGCACTTTTAGAGTTTCTGCCACATTCTTGTCTTCTTTAATTGTAAGAGAAGTGCTTAACAGCTTCAGTGTCACAACATGAGCAACATACTGGTGAGAAGAACAGAGGGAATTGAAATCAGTCATCTCAATGAGAATAATTTTTCACAACTCCTCACTTCAACAAATCACTGAAATGTGGTTTTTTAAGTTATTCCACACACTTAAGATCAGAAACACATCTCTACGTAGGATTCAAAGTACAATCTTGACTTGATTCAGCCCTTATCAGTCATTTCTTTAACAGAAAACATTGCTCAACAAATGCAGAGCAAATACAGTCTGTGCCTCTTCAGGACTGAGGAAGATTTTTTCAAACTGTGAAGCAAGCCCTGCTAAACCACCTTCAGCTGAGAACCAGTGAGATAACCCAACCACTGCAGTCCCATTAAACAGCCACATTTCAGAAGACATGGCAGGAGTGCCTTTGCTGCTCTGGCTGCTGAATGCCACGTCTTGGCCTTGCCAAGAAAGGGTTTTCACTTCCCAGCATATGTGGGGCTCTGTCAATCAGCAACTTCAGAAGAATCAAACAATATTTCCTATCTGAATATTTCCATTTGAAGCTGCATCTTTCTGCAGGGTACTGAGGGAGATGGAAGGTTTACACTACATTTGCTGGGTGGTTTGTTTGTTTAACCCATCCCCACAACTAGCTGCTTACCTGCTTTGGTAAGGAAAGGTTGTGGGAGCTGTCACTGTATCCAATGGCAGTGAAAAGCTTGGCTTTCTCCTCTGGTGTCATTAGTTCATCAATAGCTAAAACCAAAGACCCATACAATTTGCACTTTATAAATAACAATAAGCACTTTTCCCCACATTAGCCTTCTACTGCACTTCAGTTCTGCTGATACATTTCATGGGCTCTTCATATTGCACTAAGTCCAGAATGTAAAACAATTCACACCAAGTGTCCATACATAGTGTTACATACGCAGTACAGAAATCAATATAGTTTTTATTACAAGAGTTCCCATAATTCCCAATGATGAAAATGGCTTTGAGGAGTTTTATTCGAATAAATCTCTGATCCAGACAGCAAATCACCAGAAAAAGAGTATTCCAATTGCTGCTAATTATCTCTGTAGCTGTAAATGCCACTCTTCTCCTCATCAAGGTTCTGAGATGCTTTTGGCCATTTCAGAGACTGCCTTATTTGCCTGCTCAATATTCAGTAAGTGATGCTGTAAAATGATCAGCACTGCACTGTTTAGGCCACACTCTCTCCTTCTGCATAGCAGGAAGCAAAACATACCGTAACTTTCTTCTCAATGTATATAAAACCTGGAAGTCTCTCTAAACATCAGTGCATTACAATCTACACCTACTTTCAGGAACAGGGGATTCCTCATCTTCTTTCTTCCTAGATTCTCTTTTACCCCAGAAACCACCAAACCATCCTCCACTTTTCTTTTCTACTTCAGTGCTTTTCTTCTTCAGTAATTTTTGTCCCGATCTTATTGTCTGCAAACCAGAAATTAAAACACATTGGACAAAATATATAGTTAATAGTACTACTATTGATTTAAGCAGCCCCACTAGGGATAAAGAGCACTTTGACTCATTAAACAGGGGCAAAAAGAGGATCAGAGTGAGGGGCATGTCTGTGTGTGTGTGTATGTGCTTGGACAAACACAGGCATGTGTTTTAACTTTAAAAAAGTTAAAAGCTTTTTCTCCACATTTCACTGGCATTTAGACTACAAAAACTACTTGAAAATACGGCATTTAAGACGATACAAAAAGCAACTTCATTAAATCTGGTAGTAACAAACCTGAGGACTGATCCTGCACCATTTAAAATTTTTGAAATTTTAAGGTTTTTCAAGTCTAATTTTTAAAATTCAAAGTATTTAAAATTTTTTAATTTGCGCTCAGGCTTTTACTTCACCTTTCAAAAACCAAATTCTGACCACAAACATCTCAAAAATAAGAACCACCATTGTTATTTCTTCCTCTTAATTTTACACACATTTCAGAGGTGTAGCCAAACACTGAGGCTACATTGGCATGAGCAGTAAATACAAGATGCAATTACAGAGGTTAATTGAAGATAATAAAGATATTATCATGACAAAGCCATCCTATCTGAAGTGTTACAATATTTATCAAACAAAAATTATGTCTTACCTCCACTTGTGCTTGTTGCCTTGCTAAGATTATATTGAAGACGTCAAGCTGTCTTTCTAGGTCCTGTAAAAATGGATGATGAAATCATTTGACTCTAAAACACATTTAGGAAAGGCTCTCCACCACAAATTCTCTACCAGCTCCTTTGTATTTACACTCCAGTTTCATTCTAGATCTGCTCATTTCCTTCCAGGGTATATCCCCTCCTCTCAAAGTTCACTACAAGATGAAGTCTGATGTTACACTGTCCAATTTTTTTTATTAGATTACTCTTTCACTTCATTAAATGTATCCAAGCTTCTTAATCCTCCAACAAGAAGTTTAATTTTAAAAGGCACTTGACTAGTATTTTAACTTTCTTTCCACAGCAGGTTACACTGAACTTTAGGTTAAAAGGTATTTCCACAGACCTCTTGTGCTCCTGTAAAACAATCAACCTGGATTACTCAATTTTCAAGAGTTATTTCACAATGGGGTCAAAACATACTTTGTCCAAAGAGAAAAAACTCCTACCTGAATTTGCCTCTGAGTTTCTTCTGACAGTTTACTCTGTGTCAGCTTGTGCTTGTAGGTGTTTTTGTAACTCTTCAGAAGCTGCCTGTGCTGTTTGATGTTACTCCACGACCACATTCGAGTGTGTCTTCTGATGTGAACTTCGAGGACACTGTCACCTGCATATTTCCACCTGCAATAATTCCATGTTTGTGAACAACTTCCCATTCCATTTGTGCCTTACAACTTACAAGAGATAGTTTATTAATATGCAACCTTCATTTACCACTTGTGATTTGAGTAACTTGGTTTATAAAAATTTTAATAGTTTCAACACCACTTGTGAAAAATGGACTGAGGGCTTACATTTAATGCCTGAAGAACTACAAATCTTCATTCTTTACTGATTTCTGCACGTTTGCAAACTTGGGGTGTGACAGCTTTAAATACACTTAAGAACTTTGATAATCAGCATCAGTTAACTGATGCTGATTATCAAAGTTCTTAAGTGTATTTAGACCTTAAATTTTAGATCTTAAATTTAGACCCTAAATGCTCTGAAAAAAGTCAAGAGAATGCGTATCAGTTCAAAACTTTAAAAACTACGATTGACAGACACGTTTCCCTCGTATTACATTTGCTACTTGTTTTCTTTAGCCTTTTTAAAATTACATCCCAGCCTCTGGAGAGAGCTCTGGCGTGTTGTTCAGATTTTGGGGACTTCATCTCAGCCAGTGAGGCTTCCCCCAGTGGGCTGTCTCACCCCTTGGAGGGCAGGGCGCTCCCCTTACCAGAGCGCGGCGTGTCCGTGCGGGGGCTCGCGGGGCCGGAAGCGCCGGTAGGGCGCGTTGCGCACCATGCAGTCGATGGACTCCAGCAGGTCCAGCATGCTCAGGTACTGGACACAAGGAAACAGGTTCTCAGCAGGGGTTCACACTGGGTTTGCACACAGTGCCTAAACAACTACCGGGGTCTTCAGCATTCCTCAAACTACACAGAAATGCAGCGTCATTAGTATGTAAAAGGGAAAAACTACACCCACTGCTCTCCAAGGACACCACTGGATGAGCTTCTGGTGTCCATATCCATTTGGTAATGCACACTTTCCCTCATTTTAGACCTGCCTTTGCATGAGTTCACCTTACTGGTACTGTTCTGCACCCAGCAGACACTTTGACATGATAAGAGCTAAAAAGCTCTCTGGCCAGCCAGCTGACTGTAAATTCTCTCTGAATAACTGACAACACTGGCACTGCTGGGGAGACACCTAAATCAGTTCCCTGGTACTTCCGCAGGCTGTGCTGCCAAAGCCAGCGCACCCCCTGCATTCCCAGCCTTGCATTTTGCCATCTCTGCAGTTACAGCATTGGCTTGTGGTTTAATAAGATAAGGGCTCCTCATGAGTCTATTCTCTGTGTGAGAGGAATGCTACTGGAAGGGCTGAATATGGATCAGGTGGTCCCCAAGGGTCCACAGATTAGAGTGTCAGGATTCAGCACCAGGAAATGATGGTTACACAGAGGGAAAATGATCCCATACATTTCCCACAGGTACTGCTAAATGGACATTCTACTTGCATGTAAGCAGAAAATTCCCTAAGAAGAATGTTTTCCAGTGGAAAAACCCTACAGTTCATCCCAAAGTGCAATGGGGATAACAAACACCAAACCAACTTACCTGTGGTTTAGTGAATTCAATGACAATTCTCTGTACTTCCACATTACAATCAATCTTGGGAGTTTTCAGTTCTAATTCTGCATAGGGGTTGATATACAGTCTTGCAGAGGCTGACACTGGTCTAAAAACTTTAAAGATTAAAAAAAATTGAGATGGATTTCATATTTGAAAGTATTGGAAGCAATGGATCAATCACTTTGTACTGATGATGGGTGTGCTCAAGACCCACAGAATGAGGATGCAATTCTTCCCAGCAATGAGGGTAACCCAGAATTATCAACAAGCACCATCAGGTGAGGCTGTTGCACATCAGCACACTCAGGACAGTTTATATTCACCCATCCCCAGCTTACTTACTGTACTGGTAATCTTCTGGCTGGTTACCACCACATGGAATTCCTCTTTTCAGCTGGTCCTGCAAAGGAATTTGTCACTGTCTAACAACTGCTCAGGAGCTTTACTTGTTCACAGCTCTCTAAGCTTTGAGTACACATGTATTTTTTGCAAGGGCCTCCTCCCTCTAAATGGGAAATCTGATATAGCACAAGCACTTCAGAGTGAAGGGTTTAAGTACACCAGGTTAAAGAAGAATTTTAAGTTTCTCATATGAAGTAGAATGTTAGCACAGTTTTTGTTTGACTTCTAAACCTTGCAATAAATGTGTGCTAATTTAGAAACAGTTCATGTGTGTACTATTCACATTCCACCCTTCCTCATGTTTAGCACATGAGCCTGTCCTGCAGGAATGAGAGGAATTACACGACAGAAAGAAGTCAGGAAAATAACTGAACAGCCAAGAAGCCTGAGAAACATCACGCTAAAACTAAGACTTCATTCAAAATGAGGTCTGCCTGATGCTGTAATTTTTAGGCAATTTCTTGAGAACACTTTAGTCATGCCCAAATATGTTTCAGAATTGCAATGGCACAATCAGTCCAAGAGAGAAGTCTGCTTTTAGGAAGATGTTATATGAAGGCAGATGAAGTGCTTGTTCCCCTTCATATTTTATAGAAACTATCAATATCAGGAGTTGTTTGGACCAGGAAAATATTTAGTAACTGTAAATTTCTTCAACCTAATTCTTTTCCCAGATCCTTATTTAAAAACTGGTCTGTATTTTATAAAAGGTACATTTTCTCATTAAAATTGTTTATATTTCAATCTATTTCCCACCTGCTGATCTATATTAATACAAGTTAAACTTGTATGAGATTAAGGATAAAGAGCTAATCTCACCACCAGCCATATACTGATGTTATTTAAATCTGAGGACTGTTGTGCAAAAGTAACAGATTGCTACAGATTACACAGCTTATTCTTACTACAGCATGGACCAATTAGCTACTATGATAAATCTGATTTGCTGATGATGCTGATAAAATTAAGACCAAAGCAGCCTGTCTGGATGGAAGACCTTGCTCGGCAGGAAACAAGCTGCACTAAAGATTACATATAAAATGTGTTCAGGCTTTTAACACAATGTTACTAAAAAAGACATGTTATTTGCTATCTGCTCAGTTCCTGAGTTGTTTTAAAATTCTGAAGCAGAAAGGACTGAGGTGTTAGAGAAGCAAGGAGAAAACATCCACAGACAGGTAATGCTGAAGTAACTTGGCTATGATTAAACAACTGGCTGGTTTTTATTAAACAACTGGATAGTTTTCAGCACTTCACAGTTTCGATTCAGCCTTCCATGTTAGACCCAAGCTCATCAGGTAAAGTGCAAGTTTTGCTAAGGGCAAAATGAAACAAAAATAAAGATATTTGTAAAAGATGAGCACGAAAGAAAAAAGTAAACAGATAATATTGTATAACGACACAAAGGACATCTTTATAAACATAATGGGTTAAAAACTTATCATTTCTAAACAGGGGCTGATAACAAACGAAGTTCACAAACAATTGTCAGCTGTCAGCAGTGCAAGGGATTAATATATGACCCTGAGTCCAGCTGACCAAAGGGTGGGGTAGAAATCAGTTTTGAATACTACAGGAGCAAAGGAATTCCAGTTGAGTTCCATGCACTGCCTCCTGCCTTACCAGGATCTGCTCCCGGGAGCCATGGTAGTACATTGGGCTGTGCACGTTCCAGTAAGCACTGAGGCTGTCCAGGCACAAAAGCTGCACAGGAGAGAAAACATGCAACTCATTGCAATCCATCAACCATCCCAGGAACTTGGCTTTCCATTTGGGAGAACAGAGAACAAAGGAAAGCAGACTGGACAGCAAAGCCACCATCAGCACTGAGATGCATTTAACCCTACAGTACTATTCTGAAAGGAAAATTGAGCTGCTATAAAGCAAGTTCTTAAAGCACAAGTTCATGCACATCTGTTCAACATGGCTCTGGGTTACAGGGAGTGGGGGCACAAAACTGATACTTGGCCCAATAAAAAAGCCAGGAGTATTAAACCCTTCTTATGTCATTCCTTAGGTCTCTGCACACTCCTTTCAGCACAGGCTGGAGGGGATGGGTGGAGGGGCTGGGCAGGGAGAACAGAGGCTGCTCAGCTGCCAGAATCCCAATCACCTCAGGAATACAAACTGGGGGGGAAATGGCAGTTTGGCAACCTACTGAAACCACAGTTTCCATGCAGACTTGCTGTATAATACATCTAATAAGGGGATCAGCATTCACATTTAAGGGAAATGATTTAAACCACGGAGTTTAAAGTTATGCCTTGGATAAAGCCAGTTATTTGTGCTCTACTTCTGTTTAAACACAGAATAAAATAAACAGGAGAATTCACAAAGCAAACTACTTTTCCAACTTTTTTCAGAACCCCAGATGACTACTCTACAGTTATTTCAGTTATTTCTTCACTTGTGTAGGGAAAAAACCCAAAACACATTACCTTGTATATTATTTTTGCAGCTTCATTCAGAATGGAAGGTTTCCAGTTCTCATTTGTTGTCTAAAAGTTCAAAGGAATAGAAGTAATTTTGTGCATCTTAGTTAAGACATTTGTGGGTTTATCCTACACTTTCAAGCAAAAAATGTATCATCTGAGTGCTACATGACCACAAATGCCAGTTTGTCTAGACTGCATACACACAAGTCAAAATAATATAAAAATTTCAGTATATTCTGATATTCAGCTCCTTATGATACCCACACAAGTCAGTAACAACTAAGGCAAACAGAGGTTAGCTGAAATTTTCTCTCCCCATTTCTCACAAGGCCTGGCAAAATACCACATTTGTAATCATTAGGATGTGGTGTTTGCTCTAATTTATTAGGCCTGGCAATAACCTGCCCTATGAAAGGAAGATACTCAGTTTTAAAGATCACTGGGGTCATTAGAACAAATCACAGGTGTCGGAAAGTGTGATGTCATTCAGTCCTCTTCCCTCTGCTTGCTCAGACTGCAGCTACTATTTGCATGAACAAAAGACTGTCTTGGCTTCCAGCTGTTTGCATCCTGTCACTGCATCTTCTTAACATGTTACTTCTCCTTTCTGCTACTCCAAAGACAAGTGAATTGAGAACACAGGAACGTGCAGTCACACAATTACCAGCAAACTAAGCTCGCCCAACGTCATCCCCAGGGAAATCGGACACTGCGGGTCCGTGATCTGCAAAAAGAGAACAACAACAGATATTTAATTCTCTTGCTGCTAACAGCTGTGTCATTTAAAGTTGATTGAAATCCTGAGCTGTCATGAAACCTTCCTTTGCTCAGTTATTGTGGCTGGAACATTCTCAGAATGCCCTGAGACAGGCCCAAAGCAATATGGCTGCAGGGGAAAGACTCAGGGCTTCACTCAAACTGACCATTTCCTTCTGGCTCTTAACACCCTCATATAGGGCAGAACAATTACAGGGTACCACACCTCAGTCAGCTATATCATTTCATGACATCCAGTCCTCCAACCTTTTTTGATTAAATGCCTCTGAAAACAGTGCCCAAAAAGGTTTGAGAAACACTATTATCCAATGCTGTTCTTCTATGTTCAATTATCTCATCACAAACTGCTTTATCATTTTCCTAAAGGAAGCTGGAACCAGACTGGAATAATACTTGTTTGGTTCATATGAACATTCTCATTTGTAATTAAGTTTTCCAACAATTTGCCTTCAGATTGATCCTTATGGCCACCAATTTCTGTCATTCTGGACTCTACTCAGGGCACTGAAAAAACTCTACATCAACTGCACACAGTGAGATGTGAGAACAGCCACCATCCACATTTGGTGAGCAAGACAGCACTGGACAAGGGGAAAAGGAGAATATCTGTTTCACAAATCCATATTTCTGGCATTCAGTCATGTCTGGGGTGCTTTATTTGAAGAGGTGCAGAAGAAACCACTGCAACTTCTCTAAGGTGGCAGAGAACAGTTTCTCTCTAATGGAATAGGCAATCAGGGGGGATGAAGGGAATATGTCCCAGTTACTTACATCATCTTCATATTTAACATGAATGCCCGTGATTTTGACTTGCACATTTTTTATGACTTGAGTTGCAAGCTTTTCTAAGAAAGTATCCTTCTTCTCCTCCTTTGGTTTGTCTAGAAACAGAATTTTTAAAAAGGCAGCATTCAGTGTAGCAATTGCATCCTGAATGTAACCACGCCAACAACTACACCAATGTAAATATAATGTTTCCTCTAATTTAACATTTTTCACTCAGATTACATATTTGCATTTTTTTCCTTTTCTGCACATCCATCATCTCAAGATGTGTTGTCAGCTGCCTATGTCCAACACAACCATAGGAAAATAGACATTTAAGTATCAGTCAAAACAGTTTAGCTTACAGCAAGTTCTGGATTAATACATTTCTCCCCACTCCTTCCAAAGTAAAAGGTTTTCTCTTTCAAGTCCCTCACTGATTAACTGGGGGTTTCAACAAGCAAAAAGGTAAGACAGTGTAATTTAGCACAAAATACCTTTGAATAACCAGATGAGGATGGGACTTGCAACAAGAAGAGACCAGTCCCTTAAAGCCTTTCATACAACATTGCCAGAGAAAATTAAAAAAGCTGGGACATCATAAATGAAACCCAACAGTTACTCTGAAATATTCCATTTCTTCTTCACTGGACTTACACTGTGGCCATGTCAGTGAGGTCCATGTCAGACTTTGCTATGGCCCACAGGACACTGGAATTTCTGCTGCACCAGGCAGGGCAGCAGGAACTGCATCCACAGCAGCCCAGCATCCCACCAGGGACACAGGTACATGTGCCAAAACAAGGAGTAATATTTAAAATCCCTCCTCATTTCACCATAGTGACATGACCAAAAGTGTTCTGGCAGGCTGGGTGTCTGAACACCTCAGCTGTAGCACGGCTGGACGAGCAGCCTGTCCTGCAGCTGTCCTGCCAGGCTCCACTGCAGTGCCCTCCTTCAAAGGGGCTGCTCCAGGGGTGCCACTAATGAGCCTGCCAAGCTTGGACATCGCAGTTGGAAATGCCACAGATGGTTCAAGCTGAAGAAACAGTCCTGGCTATCCAAGTACCTTTTTTAACATGCAATGCACTCTGCACACCACAGGAATCTGATTTTAGACATCTTGCTATAATGAGGGATAATTTCTTTTAAAGCTTTAAGAGAGGCTCAAGAAATCCATTTAAAAACAAGACCACTATTGAATGTGATACAACACAGTTTGAGTGTTTGATTTCAACTGAAAAATAACTAGCCAGGAACTCAGAAGAAACCAAAACATTGTATCATTTTTACATGCAACTCACATTTCCTCACGTTAATTATTTTTTCACAACTCCCACTCTCTATTAGCAGATATCAAAACAATCCTAATTAAAAAAAAAAAAAAAAAAAGGCATAACTACCCCAGAAGAGAGAATCAAGGACTCTCTTCAGTCTCACTGGATCCAGAGAATGGATAAACAGCAAAAAATGAGCTCTCTCCAATTTACATCCTCTCTTTCAAACAGCAGAAAAAAAGGTATCACTGCATGAATAGCCAAGACTATGAGAAACTAATCCAAACAGAAAGCAGAAAGAAAGAAGTCTTAAAGTTAAAAGCTTAAAATGCTTTTTTACCCACCTTTTGAGTGGTCATGACCTTTAAAGGGTCTCTTAAAATGCTTTTTGTACCTTTTACGCTTACGTCCTTTGCCAGAGCAAGCAATTTTTTGGGAAAAGGATAAAAGCCAAGTTAGTAAAGCAGAAATGCAAGAAAGCATAAGCAAACAAGGAAGAAAGTTTAGCTTGTCTTACAGCATAAAGTCTTAGCAAGGGCTCATTAAAAGCTTTAAGCATTTCCGATCTCTTAAGGAAGTCATCAGCTACTTCTTACAGCATCAGATATAAATCTACAAGAAGCTCCTACCATACAAGGGCAGAACTCTCAAGCTGAGATATTTGAAACCTATGTGGAAACCCAAAGAGAACTTTTCAATATGATTCTCATGCTAAGCAACAGTGTGGTATGAAGGTAACCTGAAAGAACAATTCCAGTAACGGCAAAACAGGCAGACAGAAACCATGACTAAAAGCTTTACATGAAGTTAAATTCCCTTTTTTTGCACACAAATGATGACCCACACTATCACAGCTTTCAATAATGAAATAATGCTCGTGCTTTTCCCCAGTTCTAAAGCAAACCAGTTTGGTGAGCTGACTGTTTCTTCCCCCTCTCTGGGGGAAAGGAACTGGCAGCAGTGCTGCCTGTGCTTATCTCTAGGAGGCTGCAGCACCAGAGGGTGTATCCCAATAAAACAGAAGGAAACAAGTGTAACTGTACCTACTGTGGGAACAACTCATGACATTTGCAGGCCTGTTCAAACAAAGGAGAAGAAATTGCCTGCTAAGATTTCACCCTGTCTTGCAGGTAAGGTGATCACTCTACAAATAATAAGAAGTAAAAACTATGGCAAATAAAAATGTTTTCTTTTGGACGGTTCCTTTTCACATTACAAGTCATGCCCTATAAACGGTATTTTAGGAGGGCAGCTCCTCTCACTGCCATGTATGACAAAACTAAGGCAAACTGAATGTGTGTTTTTAAGCTTATTCTAAACCTGTGCTAAGATAAAAGCCCAGTAAGTAACTTTGGCTAAGTGGAAATTCCTGAAAATTTGGTTAGAGGAATTAAAAATACAGCAGGTACAACACAAGCACAGTTCCTCTGAATTTCAGTGGAAGCTGTTTCCTTGAGAGCAATGCAAGTAAATAGAACCAGGGGAGAGCATGGCAATGCCTTCAACCTGCTGTCACTCAGTTTGTCTGGCCATGGTTTCAGGACAGCCTGAACTTCCTTTATCTTAAGCCCCCGACACTTTAGGTCAGGGTAATTACTCTCTACTTTACAAACAGCTAAAGATAGTCTTGTAAAACTACAGCAGAATATCATCAGCATTCTTGAGCTCCATCAGCTGACTGATGGAAATCTCTTAAGTGGTCTTTTAAGCATCTTGAACAGCTCCTCTACTAAAAGAGGACCAGGCAGAATCCACATTCATTAGAACCTTCTTTCTAGAACCACCAATATGTGGATGTTTACAAACAAGTATTGCTTTCTCTCTGCTCCATTTGGCTGCTTTGGAGGGGGGTTCAAAAGGTAACTAACCATGCATACCCACCAGGCTTGGTGTCCTTGTAAACCAGACTCTCCAACCCATACAGGGACTCTCCTGAGTGAGTGCCTTGGTCCACATGGCAGCAAATAACAAAAAGGGCATTTGGTTTAAAAGAATGTTCAGTTCACAAAACCTTTCTGACACCTTAGTATTTCCATTACAGTCTGTGACAGCCAAAGCCACCTCAGAACATCTGCTGTCCAAGATTACACAGGAAAATCATGCAATTTTCATTTTTTCTTGTAACCAGCAAAAGATGTGTAATCGTCAAAAGCTGTGGTCTCCAAATGAGGTTTGATACAGACAGGGATTTTTTTCTTAAAAAAGAAAATAATTCCATCAAATGTGTCAGCAGTTTCCACTTCCCCATCTCACCGTGCTGCCCCCATAGTGGCATGACCATTTTGCACAATATTTGAATAGCATGTCAAAATATCCCCAGAACTATTTATACATAGACTCTTAAATCCAAGCACTGAATCAAGATTCTAAACACGTTACTATAAACTGAGTACTAAGCAGAAAAGAAAATACAGCTGAGAATTGATGAATCCTGACAACTTTCTGTTCCATGTATTTCCTAGATTTTCAGCAGCTATTGTGTGCTCTTAAAAGCCTACAGAGAGCTGAATTTCGTAGAATTCTATGGTTCAGGAGGGCAGTTTTATGGTTTATATGGTACAGTAGGTTTCTCTATCAAGCAAAGGACCTGCTCAAGCAAGGTCTACACAAGCCCTCCTGAGTCCAATATTCCAGTACAACACCAGAACACAAACAGATACCACTGAAACATGATCACACAATAACAGAACATCTCAAACTGGAGTTCAAAGTAATCCAATTTAAATGTTCCTCCAGCTTTTCCTTCCCAAGGCTGAAAGTTTAAAACTAAAACATGACTAAATCTGATTCTTGTTCTTTATGTAAGTTGAGCTACTGAGGCTGATTTTTTCTCAAAAGCCTCACAAACCCACAGGTGCACAGACTCACAGTTCCAGAACTGGAATTTCTCAAGCAGTGCCCACTGGGTTAAATTCATCTCGGTATATTATCCCTTCATCCATTGCTTCTGGTGCCAAGAAGTTTGGCTGAAGCACTGCTGCTTCTCAAGTGCTACATCACTGAGGTTAAACCTCCACCAACATTCCTTTGCCCCAGGAGGAAAGAATGGCTGCAAAATTCATTCACTGGAGTTGTCTCAGCTCTCAAACCATTTCTGGCATAATAAAGACAAGAAATAGAGCAAAGCTGCTTTCTTCACTGCAAACAGATTGTCAGATTGCTGTCTGAAGGAACTGCAAATGCACATCTCAAACTAGCAAAGGAGGAAAAAGGCAGCAGACTCTCCTATAACTGGAAAATTAAACAAGCAAAGAGACTACAACCAAACTATTTTTTCCCAAGTGTTTGAAGTATCATCTCATTTCAGTAACTTTTCCAAGACTTGCACTGTTACAGGTATCCTAGAAATGCATCTTAAGAACCATTGCACCAGCCAACAAACAGGTCTCACTTCAGACAAAAACTTTAGAGAGAACTTCTTCCTCCAAATGTCCTCCATACCTGTCATTGGTTCTGAGCTTGGTTTCTGTCCAAACAAGCCTAATTTATACCATCATTTTATTAACAGTCTATGTTACAACAATACAAGCAAACAACAGCAAAGCAAGTCAAACAAACAGCACCACCATAAATCAGGTTAACTAAACTTAAATATCAATTATTTTAACCTATAATTGAACCCTGAACATTTTTTATGACCTAGAGCTGAATTTTAATTTTCCTGTGTTCATGCTCAATTGTTTTCTTGTGTCATGAATTATTTCCTGCTCAAGAGTCTCAATTCCCAAACCAGTCCAAACTGAGTTCATCCCAAAAGGAAAGCAGAAACTGAAATGAAAGCACTACTGCAGTAAAACCTTATGAGCCTGACCATTCCCCTAAAGATTCCTTCCAGCAAAGAACAGCCTATCCCATGCACCTCTAAAACACACAAGGAAACATTCTATTATTGAAGATCTAAAGCAAGATAACAACATCAGCCTCATGCAATACAGTTTCTATTGTTGGTTCTGTTCCCTTAGAGCTTTAAGGGGGAAAAAAAAAACAGAAGGAAAAGGGATAAAAAAGACATAGCAGATTATCAAATTCCCATTTCCCATAGAGGCTGACTGGATAAATAAATGTTACACAAACAAATAACACTGCTTCAAGCTTTAGAGGAAACAGGCTTTTCAAAGCACTGCAGTAAGATTAGCCAGACACTTGAAAAAACAAAACTTATGATGCCAATCACAAATCAGGACTTTTCTTTCATAGCACAGCCTAAGTCCTCAAATTCCACTGCAGATTTGCATCATTAACTCGGTACCTTTTTCTGCTGCTTTCTGCAAGGCTTCTTCAATTCTTGCCAGTTCCTTTTGTTTATTATCCTGCAAGTATTTTTCTTCCTTCTCTGCATCATATTTAACACCTGTAAGTCAAGTCGGGAGAGCTTTAACCCTAATCCTCAAGTCATATAAATGCATTATCAAACAACACACACCACATACAACATTACACTGCTAAACACCTTGTTTGAGACAAAGCCTGTTCCAGCTTTTGTTGCTGAATGCTGCTCCCAGCCTCCAAAACTGTCATTTTTTACACAGTAAGACACAACAGGATCATACCAACAATTCACCATGACTTCACAGGAGAATTTATCTGTGGAAATTCAGATCCTTAAGGCCCCTAAGTAGCAATATAGCTCAGGTTTGTAAGTTCTACTACACATATATTTGACGCTGTATAAACTTGCAAGTTTTCTCAAACATACCAGAGGTTCTGATTTCAGAGAAAACTAATCAAGTTCTCTGACCCTCTTCCCTCTCCCTAAAAACAATACTAATGGAATTACTACTTTCAACTGTTGCCAGTTAGCAGCAGATAAACTACATCATGCAACAGCCAAAGCTCTAAACCACGCCAGAAAACTGGATTCAGGATAAACACATTTTAGAGGAAACTTGGCTGTTGAATTGAACTTGGAATGGATACAATCAAGGATCTCCATAAAAGCAACAGGTGCTGTTTTCTCCCACCCTTGTCTGCTCACTTGCCAATATTTGCCTAGAAACTTCCCTGAGGGGAATGTAGAAGTGGCAGCTTACAGGAGCTACTTGCTATTCTATACCCATTTACATGGTACCCTGAGAGATCCCTTTCCCATTATTTAGCTGTTGTAGAAGAGTGCACATACTTGCTCCAGGGACTATCAGAAGATACAAGCCTTCTAGAGTTGCAACGACTGCCTCTCCATAGAGATTCTTCCAAGGAATCTTCAGAGTAAGTTTATCTAAACAAAGCGGATAAAATCACATCAAAACCAAAATCCACCGTGCTTAGTCCAAACAACCCCTCAGGCACTGAAGAGGATCAGCCCAATATCCCAATGTCCTGAACACCTTGGAAGGTAAGGAGAAAACATGGAGGCCTGGACATTTTATAAAGGCCTTGAAGGGATAAAACACATGCAGAGGAAACATAAACCACAGTTTTGAGCAAAAAGTTGCAGTTTGAGTCAGAATATTTCATATCAAAACCTGAGATCATGACTAGAGTTCAATTCACTGGGATGAACGTGATTTTCCCAGGGAAGTAGAAGAAAAAATGCAACATATCTACATCTCCAACAATTGTTTCATGTGAAAAAGCAATGCTGACTACCAAGGAAAGGAATTCTTTGAAAAACCATCTAACTAAGAGATGCTAAACCTTTGGCATATCTGTCAGGTTCAGGAATCTTAAATCTTAAATTCCTCATATATATACAATACATGTTGTGTGTGTACATATATATAACCCTCACATATATATCTATTACATATATATAACCACTCCTTTAAAAAGCCACACATGCCATGTCTATACTAAACAGCTCCCTTGATCATTCCTGAGTCCAGGAAGAACCTCTCAGACGTGTTTTTCATACCAACCTGTAAAGTTACACAAACAGGGCTTGCCAGATAACACCCAGGGCAGTCACACTGAATTCTGGGGTAGTTTCAAGAGCGAGCACAACTACACCTCAGAAAGCCTCATCAAAGAAATTCAGGGGCAGGACTGACCCTAAAGCCTGTATTAAAATTTTCATTTCAGTACTTGCATTAGAACTAAAACTTACCTATCTGACCAACTTTTACTCTAAAGGGTACATCCAGTTCACTCTGTAAATAAAAAAAAAAATAAAGTATTAAACAGATTCATATATTTTAAAGATAAGATTGTGTCTACGTACAGAAATGGAAAGCTACTTCTTTTCTGGTGGAAAATCTTAAAAGGAAAACAAAACCCAGACAGCAGCAGACATGCAAATTAGGGGGAAAAAAGAAAAAGTTGGAGCATATCACATTCCTTTAATCCCTTCTTTTTCAAGAAGGTGTAGCCTACTTTTCTAAAAATGGTGTAAAATACTGGCTTTCTTTTAATTACTTTTGCATAGAAATCCAACACACTGCAAATGTAAAGCCACCGGAAACATCCCTTGTTTTAAGTTCCTGAATTTCTCTTGGCACACTCTCAGCTCTGGTCAGACACACAAGTGACTTTGCATTTTTCTAACTCAGAACTGCTGGAATCTTAATCAATCCCCAGAAGAAGGATTGGGTGTACAAAGCAGCCAACACTTCCTTCCTTTTTATATCTACCACCTTATGAAGACATTTGTAGCAAGAGTTTTCTAAAGTAACACAAAGTTATCAGGAATGGATGAAATGGGCAAGTAAAAGTGAAACTTCAGAACAGTGAAGGGAAAGCAATGATTAGGTCATACAAAGATCCAGTGTGTTTTCAATGCACAGAAGAGTAACAGCTCTCTTTAGTGAAGCTTGAAGCACAGTAAGTATTGGAGGGAAATTCTCTCAGCAATGCAGGTGTTCATTAGCTCAATTAAAGAACATGAAAATCAGCTAAGTCATTTGTTTTACCAGACAACAACATGTGTACTTAATGAAAGCTACTTCTTGTTTTTCAGCCACAGCTTCTGTTCTTCTCTGTTCCAGTAACATGAGAAAAATTAGAAGCAGTGAACCAAGAACTTACTCCCAATAACCAGTAAAAAAGGACACTGTGTATGCTTTTGTCATGCTATAGCAGGTGATATTTTATCCTACAACTTAGTCTTTAGACCCATAAAAACAATTTTAAAGTTATTACTTACTAATGCATTCTCCTTGATCTGTAAATTGTCAAGTGCCACATTACCTGTTTAGAAAAAATAGAGATAAAAATAGAACATGGGGCTTAAAGCAATGCCTAAATTGGAACAAGGAACACAACTACGACCCTCCCAAGTATACATAAATAAAATCTGAATAGCTTATTGCAGTTAGAGAATAGCACAGTAAGTGTGTGATTTGTACCAGTCATTAAACACTGATAATAGACAAAAATATCCCCAACTTAGATGTCTGCATGTTTCCACTCTACTAAATACACCCACAATAAGAGAGTTTTTCTTACTATTCACATAATTGTGAATGATCGTTACAGTTCTATCGATGTAGGTAGACTTGGAAAATTGTATCTTGTTTTTCATGATTTCACATAACAAAAAAAAACATGAATCAGAAAGCCACAAAAACACATGCCTGTTTACACAAACACATTAACTTTTTCTGACGTAGCAAACGTAATTGGATTTCCATAGGAAACAGTGGCACAGAATTATACCCGTGGAGAGCACATGCAATATACCTATTAGTGCTTTAATGCCAGATTCCTTAGAGCTATAATCCATTTTAAATATAGGTATTAATATTGCACAAATGTTAAAATACTTGCAATACATGGTAAGAGCACAAATAAGGTCACGAGAAAAGTCTCATCGCTCGCCCACGGGAAGCACCGAAGCCGAGCCAGCTCCTCCAGGCAGCACTTCGGCTGGTTTTTACATGGCTACAGAGTAGCGAGCTGAAATGTTTGATACAGTGGCTCGCACAGCCGCTGTCCCGGCGGCTTCGCACGCCTTATTTATTTACACCACAGACGAGCGGGCGGGAGCCGCGGCCCCCCGAGTGCCCCAGGGGCTGCACCGACACCCCGGGCACGGAGCGGAGCGCCCACAGCCCCAGCAGCACCCTCGTGCTCCCAGCCAGCACGGCGGGAGAGAGGAGGAAAGACGTGGAGGGGTTATCGCTGTGCAAGGTTTCCTCCCCCAGAGCTCCGCGGCCGAGCGCCCCGCAGCCCGACCGAGGGAGGGGGCAGAGTCCGCGGGCTCACAGCGACCACCGGCCCTTCACGGGGGAACGGGCCGTCTGCGGGCACAGACCGACCCTCACGGGAGAACACGGACCCACCGCCCGCCCCTCAGGGGGAACAACACACCGATCGCCCCTCACGGGGGAACACGGACCGAGCCCTTCACGGGGGAACACGGACCCACCGCCCGCCCCTCACGGGGGAACACGGACCGAGCCCTTCACGGGGAAACAACACACCGCCCGCCCCTCAGGGGGAACACGGACCCACCGCCCGCCCCTCACGGGGGAACACGGACCCACCGCCCCTCACGGGGGAACACGGACTGAGCTCTTCACGAGGGGACAACACACCGATCGCCCCTCACGGGGGAACACGGACCGAGCCCTTCACGGAGGAACCACGCACCGCCCGCCCCTCATGGGGGAACACGGACCGAGCCCTTCACGAGGAAACACGCACCGACCGCCCCTCTAGGGGGAACACTACACCGCCCGCCTCTCACGGGGGACCACGGACCGACTGCCCCTCACGGGAAGACACGCACCTCCCACCCCTCACGGGGGAACACGGACCCAAACACCGCCCGCCCCTCCCCGCAGGCCGCGACCCCGCACCTCGCCCTCTCCTCACAGGGGGCCGCAAACCCACCGCCCGCCCCTCGGAGCGGACAGCGGCGCCGCGGCCCGCGAACCCCTCACGGAGGAACCACGACAGCAAGACGCGCTCCCCGCTCCTGGCGACAGCGGCGGCCCCACAAGAACGGCGCGGCGGGAAGGGGCTACTTACCGCCCCATATACCCAGCTTGAGCTGGGACTTGTTCAGGTTCTCCACATAGTCACCCAGGAAGCGGTTCAGCAGATCCGCCACCACCGACTCCAGCACCATGGCGGAGGCGGCCCCTCAGCCGGCAGGAGGGGAGCGCAGCGCAGCGCGGGGAGGGGGCGCTGAGCGCGGCGTGACCCAGCGCGGCGCGCCTCCGGCAGTCAGGTGACGGGGCGGGGCGCGGCCCGGAGCCTGCCGGGCTGGCGAGGCGTGGGGGCCGGAGCGGCGGCGGTGCCGGTGCCGGGCACGGAGGGAGCCGCGGCCCCGCGCCGGGCTGGGGCAGCGGGGCGGGCAGGGCCGCTCCGGCGCCGCGGCGGGGTCGGGCGGGAGCGAGAGGCGCCCCCTCGCGGCGCGGCGCGCGCGCCGCCACAGCCGCGGCTCGCGCAGCGAAGCGTGAGGGAGGAGCGGCCGCGGCTCCAGCCCGGCCGTGTCCCCGGCACCGCTCTCGGCCCCTCACCCGCGGGCACCCTCCTGTGGCACCCACACCGCCCTGCCCCTGCTCCCGGACCCTCACCCGCGGGCACCGTCCTGTGGCACCCACACCGCCCTGCCCCTGCTCCCGGCCCCTCACCCGCGGGCACCGTCCTGTCCCCGGCTCCTCGGCAGCCCCCGGCTGTAGCCGGGCCCCCTCAGCCCCACAGGCCCCCTCAGGTACCACCTGTGCGGGGCCGATGCCGCCCCAGGGTGAACTCTCTGATCGCCTGGGATTGACGGGACCTGGCTTGTCATTACGACTCCTAAAAAACACCTATTTCTTCTTTTAAAACTAGTAATTGAGCTATTAAGACTGTTAATCAAGCAGTTCAAGTGACACGGAAACTCAGAGAGGAAGGGAACACGAGGAAAAAATCGCAAACCCCAGATTTTTTAAGAGAGAGTAGCACTGCAGACAAAACAGGTAAGAGCTACTCTGTGTCATGAACTTGCAGGTCAGCCCTAAAACAAGGTTTTAAATCTTAGGGAACTAATATGGAACTGGTTCTGTAAAGTCATTCTGAACTCCTAGGCACAGCACTTTGTAGCTCAAAATGGCACATTCTATCTAAAACTGTGTTCCAGAGAAAGGAAATCGATATTAGCAATAGGATTCAACCTCAAAGGTTGAAAATATATCAGGACCACGTGAATATGATCAGGGTGAGATAAATACTGCTTTAAATGGTGTACAGATATACTGTGGAGCTTGGTGCAAGAGGATGTTACAGAACCACAAATACTTGAAGGAAAAAGAGTAAGCTGACAAAGAACAGGTCCCTCAGCGACTGTTCCTGTGGTTCTGTTACTGCCTGTGTTTCAGGATTGCAAACTCCCTCGAGGTAAATTCCCAGAGCTTTGCAAGGATCTCTTTTGACTTTATAGTGGTCACACACAGGAGATCACCCTCACCCAAATAATGATGTGTCAAGTGCATTTTGGGCTTGTTACACTGGATGTGATAAACCACAGAGTTCCGTCCAAGCAGTGGACTAAAGTGTTTACCTGAAGAACTTAAAGAGCTCTGTGAATTTTCAAAATTGTATTAAAATTTGAGGAAATGGCCTCAAGTTGTGCCAGGGGAGTGTTAGGTTTGATATTAGGAAAAATTTCTTCACCAAAGGGTTATCAAGCATTGGAAGAGGCTGCCCAGGGCAGTGGTGGAGTCCCCATTCCTGGAGGCACTCGAAAGACCTGAAGATGTGGCTTTTAGGGACATGGTTTAGTGGTGGCCTGGGCAGGGTGAAAGGTTGGACTCCATGACCCTAAAGGTCCTTTCCAACCTAAATGAGTCTATGCTTTCCTAGTGTCTCAGTTTAAATGAGACAGAAGTGTTTTCCTGAGGATGAGTTACGAGGAAGACCCAAACTCCTCCCTCTAAGCAATTGTAAATCCAAAATTAAGATGCTCCGATTGAGAAAAAAATGTGGAAAAAGGAAGAATAACAGCCCTTTGTTAAAAGATAAATAAAAGCGTATTGGCAGAAACAACGAAAGAACACAAGTAAAACAACCAAACAACAACCCTCTACCCCAAAATAATCCCCTTCAAAACAAACAAATAAATAAAAAGGTAACGAGTTCAGTTTGTGCCCTTTGGTGCAGTTCTAAGCACAGCCCGCGGAGGGCGCCGTTGGGTCATGGAGGTGCAGGGCCTGCAGCGCCTGTGCCAGCCAGCAGGGGGCGCTGTTGGCTCGCTGGTGGTCGCCATTTGGGGACCCCCCCCCCCGGGTGTGCTGGGGAAGCAGAAAATGGAGGTCCTGCCTCCCCCTCACCGGCAACGGGGAGAGAGGGGAAAAGCTCCTTCCCCATGGGAACTCACTCTGTGCTGCTGGCTGAGTCGTGTGCTATAGCTTCCCCTCTCCTGTGATGTGCACAAGAACTGCTGCCAAATTAAAAAAAAAAAAAAAAAAAAAAACAAACCAAAAACTGAGGAGGAGAGGCCTCCCCAACAGTTCCTCACCGATGAAAGTTCCAGCAAAATTCCCAGCTGGCAGCCAGGCCGAGAGCACAGCCACCTCCGAGCTCCTGCTACCCTACCTTGTTCCAGCTTCAGCAGAGAAAAAAAAAAAAAAAAAAAAAGTAAAAAAGAGCTCCTTACTCCTCCCCACAGACAAGATCCTAAGGGCCGTCAAGTTGGAATGAGGTTTTACCAGCCACTTTTGTGTTACTCAACTGCCTAAGCCAAAGTCAGTCTGCCCATTCAACATCCCCTTCACATGTGGGCAGAAGGAACGGAAAAATTCCTGCTCAGTTCCTAAGAACAAGCAAAACCGTGACACCTAGCAAACACAGGGGATCAAAAATTGCTCCTGAAGTAGTGGGGTTTGACCTGGGAAAGAACCCCAGCAAGCCACATTTGTGGCAGATACCCTGCTTCAGTAAATCCTACATAGATTTCAGAAAGCAGAAGGAAAATGGAATGGAATTAAGAATGAAAAACCTGTGAATGTGGCAGTTTAAATAGATATTACTTGAAAACAAAGATAAATATTTTTGCACCTGTTACCAGATAATCCTTTGTTAGTCTGCCTGAGCCTTCCTTGCTCCTTAAAAATGACATTAATGCTCTGTCTGTTGGCAGATACCATTCCTTGTGTGTTCTCAATGAAAAAGTAAACAGTCCAAAATGGGGAGGGGGGAGGGAAACCACCCCAAAAACCCCTCACACACAGTTACATGATGTAGGAGTTCTGTATCCAGGAGATACAGGACAAACAGAAATATTGATATTTGCTTACCTGTAATTGAATACACAGATAATGTTCATTCTGCCTGGGGAAAACCCCTGCATTCTACTCATTTTTATTAAATACCACCATTGAATAGACATGACTGGTTTGATAAATTTGAATAGAATCATTAGTTTTACTCAGCTGAAAGTCACCAAAAACTTGTTCTGGTTGATGTATAGAGGCTCCTCATATATTATTGTAGCTCTTGGTTAAATAAGAGGATTTGGTGGATTCTAATTTACTAAATAGAAAACAGGTACAACACTATAACACGGTGGGTTTGCTGTTTATGTGGTAAGATTTGATCACATCTCTTGGGAGAAACCTCTACCAAAAACTGACACCTAAAAACAAGACAGGAAATCTGCACTGGAAGTATCAGTTAGAGCTTCAGTTGTATGAACAGAGTGACAGACTGCAACAGCAAATCCTTGGTTAGTGTTGCCTGTTACACCATCTTGATGCACAAATAAATCCCAGTCCCAGCAGCTCTGATGGCAGGCTGGGGTGGGGACAGGGACTGGTGGCTCAGTAGCCAAGCTTTCTTCTCCTGTCTGACTGCTTTAATATTAGAAACTCTCCAGCCATCTGACTGTTGGCAAGTGAACAGATGGCAAGTTTTCCCCACCGTGCCTCACTGAGCAGAAGGGGGGAATTCAGCCAGGTAATGTTGCATCAACTCTCATCACAAAGTCTAGAGAGGAGAGGACTTTGGGATGAGTCCATCAGGTTGCCAAGAGCCATGTTTGGACAACTTCTGAAAGCCTCCAAAAGGTGGTTGTGCCACAGCCTCTCTGAGCAGCCAGTTCCTTACTGACTGATTACATGTTTTATTATTTCCAGCTATTGAGGATTTCCCTTCCTGCAATGTTTGATTGCTACAATCTTGGAGGTAACTATATATTTAAGGCACATGGTTTTGGACCAGGCAGATGGAAGAGATCAGTATACACGATTTTGCCTTTTCTAAAGCAAAGTTTAGTATTTGCAGAAATAATAGCATTTGATACAGGATTTAATCTTATTTACCTTTTGATTTAGAAATTTTAGAGTAACTTCATTTTTCACTGTTTTTAAGCTTGTTTCTAAGTAACACACAGGAGATTTCAGTGCTGAATGCAGTTGCAGAAAATAAGCAAAACCAAAAGGAGTTTAAACGATTATGTCAAATACTCAAATAAACTCCCACATTCCATGACTAGAACAGCAGAATAGTTAAAATAACTGCTACTACTTAGAAAACTGCTAAGTAACAATTAAGATAATTCTTAGAAGTTTTTGCAACACAGTTATATTAGCAGCAAGTAGAACCAAGAGATTAAGATATATTAAGATGTCTGACAGACACAAGAAATGCCAACACACAGCAATCTGCTTTCCCTTTTCCCTGCTGACAGCTGGAGAGCCTCAGCTCCCAGTGGAGGAGAACTGACATCTGCAGAAAGCTCTGACACTGCTGCACCGTGTGTCCCCTCTCTGATTTAACAATCAAACATCAAAGACTTGCCATGCACAAATATGTAAGAACTAAGTGATGTGCAAATGGCAGCCTGTCTTCTTCATAAAAATAACCTCAATCATCTGCAGAAACCCCAATTTCGTTTCTCAGGGTAATTTTAAGCCAGATATGTTGTCTAAATCCTGACACAATGATTACATTTTCCCCCTATAAAAATGCCACATCTGTTTCTAAATAAATAAATAAATGTGCAACCTTTCCCATTATCCTTCACCCTTGCATAAAATTATTCTCTCTGGCTACTATGAACAATTTTTCAAAGAAATCTACATTTAAAAAAAACAAAACAAAACAAACAAAACAAAACAAACAAACAAAACCAAAAACAAAACAAACCACCAAAAACAAAACCATAAAGAATTCCCCCTGACTGTTCTTTGTGAA